ATGTTATATGTTCTAGCATATTGTACTATATAACTGTAACCTTGTTATTCATATATCATTATTTTCTTATTTGAATACGCTAGATTCGTTTTCGAGTAGCCTTCACATGCTTTTTTCTCACTTAGCCACCACACACGAGATTCACGGTTTGATCCTTTTCTGTCATGTGTCATTCTGTCATGTGTCACAGTCTTTCACATTCACTGGTTTTCATTCTACTCTCATTTATTTCTTATTTTATTCGGGCACTATTTGCCATGATTATTTTCTTTCAATACCATATAGATAACCTTCCTCCATAGTTGTCTTCGTACACCCAATTGTCACTTTTTTAACAGTCTTGTATACTGTCACTATGGCAACCACACAAACCCCGCCGTGTGTCTAGATGACGTGACATCACCAGCGGCTTTCATTCACTTCCAGGTGGTAACGGGCAGAGACACTTTACTTCATTGATTGGTAAGTGTTACTTTTTATATTTCATATATAAGCACATTTATGATTTGTATTCAGTGATCTTGAAAAAGACCCGGCAGGGTCGAAACGTCGGTCGATTTCTGTATACATCCTATGCATTAATAAAGCACTATTTTTCACCTATATGAAGACCTGTGAGTGCATCCCGTTTTTGAATTTTCTGTATATTGGACGTCAGTGGATACAGCACCCAGGCAAGATATCTTTATTTTAAATGTAAGGAAAGTGCCAAGCATCTACTTTTTATTATATATATATATCATATATAAGACCTGGGAGTTCTAGTCCCTCTGCTGTTCTATGTTCATTCACACCCGCTACAGAGGAAGAGGTTTCTGATCTGCTTCAGTCCTTTCGCCTCACCACCTGCTCCCTTGATCCTATTCACTCACATCTCATCCGTACTCTTATCTCCTTCTCTTGTTTTGCCTCTCACTAAAATTCTCAATCTCTCCGTCTCCTCTGGCATATTTCCATTACCTTTCAAACATGCAACTGTAACCCCGATTCTAAAAAAAAAAAAAACCTAATCTTGACCCTATCTCGCTACTGTCTTTTGCATCCAACATCCTTGAAAGCCTTGTATATGTGAGATTGACAGACTTCCTCAAGTCCAATTCTCTGTTCCACCCACTTCAGTCTGGTCTCCGCACTCAGCACTCTGTGGAAATGGCTCTGACAAAGTATCAAACGATCTACTCATTGCAAAATCTCATGGTCACTACTCTATCCTAATTCTCCTTTACCTTTCCGCTGCTTTTGATACTGTTGATCATAAACAGCTTCTTCTCATCCTCCGTAATCTCAGTCTACGAGATATTGCTTTCTCCTTGTGCTCCTCCTACCTCACCCAGCGCACTTTTAGTGTCTCTTTCTCTGGTTCTGCCTCTTTCTCCCAACCTCTCTCTGTTGGTTCAGTCCTTGGTCCCCTACTGTTCTCGATCTATACTGCCTCCCTTGGTAAGCTCATCAGATCCTTTGGCTTCCAATATCACTTCTATGTGGATGACACGCAAATCTACCTGTCCTCCCCTGCTCTCTCCCAGCACCTCTTGACTAGTGTCTCTGACTGCCTCTCTGCTGTTTCTAACTGGATGGCTTCCCACTTCCTTAGGCTCAACTTGTCCAAAACAGAACTTCTGGTCTTTCCTTCCTCAAGTGTTGCTACCCCTGTTTCTGTCTCCCTCCACATTAATGGTGCAACCATCAGCTCCACCACGCAGGCTCGCTGCCTAGGTGTTCTCCTTGACTCTGACCTCTCCTTCACCCCTCATGTCCAGTCGATGACCAAATCCTGCCGCTTTCATCTTAAAACCATTGCTCGGATCCACCCCTACTTAATGCCAGATGCAGCTAAGGTGCTGGTCCATGCCACTGTCCTCTTTTGCCTTGACTACTGCAATCCGCTTCTCAAAGTTTTAATTCAGAAAAGTTCACGTTGCAATAGCAATTTTTTCCGAACACCCCTCTCCGCAATGGTGGCACATGGTCCATTGCCATCAATTTCAAAGATGGTAAAATCAAAAAATATTTAGTAAATAGTAAATCTGGTACTGTCTCCTGACATTGGATTGTTTTTTGATGCGTTCTCTCAGGGGGAGATCAGTTTTGCCAATGCACGCTAAGCCACATGGACATGTTAATTTTTATACTACAAGGTCTGTAGTGCTTATATATTATACCTTTTATCGGTATGTGTATGTGTGAACCATTTTCCAGGTGCCATATGACTGCAAGTCGCACATTCCAGGCATCTAAAGCACCCATGATTTTGTTGTGCTTGGAAGTGCTATAACAGTGGACTGGATCAGTATTTACCAACATGTTCCTTGAGACGTCTACTTTTTCTATAGCACATCATAGGTGGTTCTTGAAATCCTTCTGGTAGTGAAGAATCAGCATCTTCCAGCTATTGTTAACAATCCTTGTGTTTGTAGTAGGAGATGTGATGCATCCCTGATTTTTGCCCATGTTCTTAAAGGTACATGAAGTATTGTTTCCTTAAATCCACATTGTAGTAACAACATTTTGATCTGTGCATTAGTTGCATCTAATTTGTTCCTGAAGACACATAGAAATTGTGAATAAGGCAAAGATGCCTTTAACACATTTGGGTGAAAACTGCTTGTGTGTAAGTATTTCTGTCAATAGGCTAGTAGTAGAGGATAAACCTGTACATCCATAAAATCAACAATATCCAGGTTGGCTGTCACCGTCAGTTCTATATTTGAGGTTGCTGTATTAATTATACGTACCATGTTCTCAGCCGTTGTCATATCACCTTTAATGATCATAAAAATATAGAAACATAGAATGTGCTGGCAGATAAAAGCCACCTTCTGCTGTCCCCTTTTTGGGAGGGACTTGGACTCATTGAGCCACCGAGTCCGTGGATTAGAGATGCCGGTCTACAAATTAGTCCAAGGCAAGAAGGATGCCACACCTCACCTCAGTGTTGTGACTACCTGTGGATGCCCTCCAGCACAGCACCAGCACCAGCACTTTCCAGACATGAGAGTTGGTTGAATGGTGACCCTATGTGGTTGAGAAGCATATCACCCAACATAACATGTCCTCTGCATCTCCTGGACCCCAGCTTACCTATAGTCAATAGCTTTTTGTTTATTTTTATTACTGATATGCTACTGAACAACGGAGTGCTTATCATGCTTGTGGTATCCAGTATCGCTCAGTTTTGCTGTGCTTCAACTGGAGTTGAAGCACAGCATACCTGAGCGATACTGGATACCATAAGCACTCAGTTGTTCAGTTGTTAACTACTCCTTAAAGAGACACTCCAGGCACCCAGACCACTTCTGCCCATTGGAGTGGTCTGGGTGCCAACTCCCACTACTCTTAACCCTGCAAGTGTAATTATTGCAGTGTTTTTTTTTTTTTATAAACTGCAATAATTACCTTGCAGGGTAAACTTCACCTCTAGTGGCTGTCTAGTAGACCGCCACTAGAGAGCACTTCCTGGTTTCTAGCACAGGTAATCTATGCTAGAGCGTCGCTGGACGTCCTCACACTATGTGAGGACCTCCAGCGTTGCTCATTTCCCCATAGGAAAGCATTTTTAATGCTTTCCTATGGGGAGCTCTAATGCGCATTAGGTCTCCCCGGCCAGGGGGCGGTATCAGTCTTGCCCACCGGCGGAGGAGGAGGAAGCAGCGACGTGGGACATCGTCGCTGCCTCAGGTAAGTTACTGAAGGGGTTTTCACCCCTTCAGTAAGCGGGGTTTGGGGGGGTGAGAGGGAGAGGGGAACTGCAGTGCCAGGAAAACAGATTGTTTTCCTGGCACTGGAGTTTCCCTTTAAGCTTAGCATACCTGAGCGATACCAGACAATACAAGTATGATAAGCATTCAGTTGCTCTATCCATTCTAGCTGGCTTTTTTTCCCGGGGACTCTTCCAGCAAAGTACTGAATAATCTATCCTGTGATGTGACCCAGAGATTCATCAGTGCACTATCTATCTTAAGAGTCCATTTAGGGATCTGCAGTAGTATACTGGACGCTATTCCTTATCCACCATTTAAGCCTAGAACCTGTTTTTTGGGGGGTTATCTACTTCAGATTTTATATACTTTACACTATATAGGTTTATTCAAGCCGGGTTTTTTTTGTTTTGTTTTTTTTTTACTCTTTGATACTGATGCCCTGAATCTATCAGGATACAACTGTGTGCTCAGTTACCTACATTTAGGTGCTATCAGAGACTATCATAATAGGGGAGAGCAATTTCTTATGCTATCCACTGTCAGTTTTCCCGATCATGACTATTTCATCTGGGGTCTGCTGTGGACTTCCCAGATACTCTCTAACAAGCCATACACCTATTTGATCCTGCTGTACTTAGATCCACACAGACAGATTTACATTACTTTGAGCTTGACTAGTTATAAGATATACCCATTCTGTTGCCACTTGGCCAGTATGACTAGGGTTACCTTACTGTATCTACCTATGTATACACTGTTTATCTCCCCTTAGATACGGTTTCCACTTTATCAGTATCACTATTTGGCTATTTCGTCATTAGTACACTTTGTACATATCAGATCCAGCAGTTGGTCCTATTTTTATACTTACTATCACCTGGTGTCTGGGATATTTACATGTGTTTATCCAGTATTGGACAATAAAGTTTTTTATTTTTATTTTCTATGCATATGTATATTAGGCACTATATGCCAATTACCTTTACTCAGTAATTTCCATTAGGGTAATAGGACTAGAATCGGGTATGCCTCTTTGCAGACCTGTTTCAAGCCCTCTCTATTATCGCTTTTCTCTGGGTTGGGCCATGTATTACCCCACAACCACTACAAATTTGGTGGGAGCTTCTCTCTCCAGTTTTGTATATCCTATCCTGTGTTGCTAGTCAAATTTTTATTGTGATCCAAGTACTGAATAACAATTATGTGAATTGTGTTTCGAATAATCCATCTATTCGAAAGAAAACAAGATAAAAAAAAAAAAAAAAAGTTTTCTTAAATCAAGGAAGAATGAAAATGGAAGTAACTTGGAAGATAGAAATTCATAAAATAATGTGTACAGTAAACATGCACAAACACACACTCCTCTTACTGGACTTGAAAGCAGAGCATTTTGAGATAGCTTAGGAGAATGCCAACCAGGAACTTGCACTGTAATAGTATTTTAGTTTTGTGATAAGAGCCTATCCCCTTCCACAGTAATCTACGGTTGTATATAGAGTTATTGTTTGTAATGGTACATCAAAGACCTCCAGTGGTAAGCTTTCAAACATAGAAGAACTAGTTTTTGTTTTATTTTTTTATTTTTTATTTTTATAATTTGTTTATTTCATTTTTTCTTATATAGCCATTCAAGACATTACCATCAACATTAATGATATAGAAAACATGAATAGTGTTGCCATCTACCACCATTTAGATAAAAAAATTTAAATTTAAATATATACTCAGTACTGTTGCACACATATTAGCCTTTGTGATATAAGAGCTTCTTCCCCTTTTCATTTTCTACTAAATTATGTTCTAAATCTAGATCAAATGCCATATTGGAAAAGAGGAAAAAAAGAAAGATCAGTCTACATGTCTAAAAATTTTTATCAAACCTCCCTCTAAAAATAAAATTCCTATTATCTATCGTATAAGACAGCTTAATTCACTATTAATTATTACTCAAATTGGGTAGATGGCATTCCAAACTTCATTAATATGATATACATAACAAACATAAAAGACAAACTTTTGTTTTTATGCATTGCAAACTCTTCTTGGGGTATTTCAGTGGCACCTCTATTTCACTACCTTAATATACTAAACAGATAAAGATGTAAGAGAAAGAGAGAGACTGATCTAATTACTTTAATTTTATCCAGAGTTTATTCTGGCCATACTCTCCACTTTTTCTTTCCAAAAATTACTAACGTCTCTAATTTTAATTGACTGGTGTCCAAGAGCCTCCATATTTAATTGATATTGGACTTGAGAATATAATTGGGCTTGTGTAAAATTTGCACTACTCTTCCAATTCCTTGCAATGATTATTTTTATTGCTGCTACAAAATGGACATATATAAATTTATCCTTGAAAAGGAGTGATTGCAAATTTAAGTGAAATAAACCATTATGATGACCCCTGGGGATTTTTATTTCTGTAATATTCTCCAGTGAATCGAAAGCCATATACCACAGGATTTTCACCTTACTACACTCCCACCATATATGTCCAAAGGTCCCCTCTTTTTCGTTGCATCTCCAACAAATTGGAGAATTGGAGATATACATTTTGGCTAGTCTGGTAGGGACTAGATACCAGCGATTCATTAATTTAAACAATACTTCGAGAAGGTTCAGACAATGGATTATCTTACTTGTTTGATATAGTACTTGATCCCATTCAGACTTAAAAATCTGTACATTTAACTCTTTACTCCATTTTTGGATATTTACATTTAGCTTTGGAGCTTCAATTTGGAGGAGAGCAATCCTTGCCTTTGAGACTATTTGCGGTACAGTCTCATTTTTTAATAAAACTATCAGGTTTTCTATGCCCACTGTAGGTCGATATAACAAATATTGTTTGATAAAACTTCCAATTCTTAAATAATTATACCACTCCTTCCAGGGTAATGAAAATTCGTGCATCAGATTTTCAAATGATTTAATTTTGTCGCCCATTATTATTTGATTTATAGAATCAATACCTTTCCTTATCCATTCCCCTAAATTTAGATCCTTCATCCTTAATTGGATAATACTAAGGTTAAAATTTCCCAATATTTTATTACATAAACCGCTATTAATCCTCATCTTTTCCCACTCCATTAATATAGATTTCAAGCATGTATTGGAGGAACAGACCTTTTTGGTTCTTTCATCTTGTTTAGTTAACCAAATCAAATGATGTAAATTTTCCATTTCTGTCGTCTCCAATTCTAGTTGGTACCAACCTACTTCCTCTGAACTTAATAATTGTGTCTTATATATATGGAACATCATATTTGCTAGATACGTTATAGTAATATTTGGAAAATTTATCCCTCCTTTCCTAATCTTCTGCATCAAAAGTTGTTTATTCATCCTCGGTCTTTTTCCTTTCCATATAAAATTATTTATATCTCGTTGAATCATAGATAACCATGGTTGTGGCATTCTCAAGGGGATCATACGGAATAAATAAGACCATTTAGGTAATAAATACGAATTAACCAAATTAATTCTGCCCCACCAAGACAGTTCAGTTTGTCTCCATCTCTTTAAAGACTCATGTGTCGATCTAAATGTTTTCAGAAAATTTACTTGGAGCGTATCTTTAACATCATCAGTGAGAATTATACCCAGATACATTAACAAATTTCTATTACAATTAAATTTATATTTATCTTTAATCTGTTTAATAAAATCTCTGGAAATATTTATTGCTAAAAAAGTGGATTTAGTTACATTTATTTTATAATTTGAGATCAGACTATATTTATCTATTTCTGCCATCAGTGCTTTAAGCGATTCAACAGGGTCGGTTAGGGTCAATATCAAATCATCTGCATATAGATTTAATTTAAATTCTTTTTCTCTAAGTTTAAATCCTTTAATTTGAGGGTTATCTCTAATTTTAATGGCTAAGATCTCCATTGTCATTATATATAAAATCGGCGACAAAGGACAACCCTGTCTCGTACCATTTTTAAGTGTAAACCACTCTGCGCATATGTTTGGGGCCACTGTTCTTGCTTTAGGACCTTCATATAATGCCAAAATAGCATTTAGCATCCTTCCCTGAATTCCGAATTTTTCCATCGTTTTCCTTAAAAAATCCCAACCGACCCTGTCGAAAGCCTTCTCGGCATCGACCGCCAATACAAATAAAGGTTTATTACTTCTTCTAGATACATCTATCAGATCCAATAATCTTCTAGAGTTATCTACTGGATCTCTACCTTGTACAAAACCAATTTGATCATTTTTAATTATATTATCCATTAAACCTCTTAATCTATGAGCCAAAACTGAAGAAAAAATCTTAACATCTGTATTGATTAAGGAGATAGGTCTATAATTTTCTACCTTTAGAGGATCTTTGTTATCTTTAAGAATTGGAAGAATATTTGCACTCAACATTTCTGTAGGAAATTTACCAACTGATACAATTTCGTTAAACATGTCTGTTAGGTGGGGTACAATAAGTTTTTTAAATGATTTATAAAATATATTTGCGAAACCATCTGGGCCTGGCGTCTTATCTAGTTTTAATTTATTTATTACTACCTCTACTTCCTGAGCTGTAATTAAAGTATTTAGCTTATTAGTTTGTTCTATTGTAATCTTAGGAGTATTAATTTTACTCAGATAGACCTCCTCGTTGGTTATCGAGGGAGTTAAATTATACAGAGCCTCATAGTACTTATTAAATCTCTCCCCTATTTTTTTTTGGGTCCAGATATACCCCGTCTTCATCCTCTATCTTTACTATTTTATTGGATCCAATTTTATCTCTTAATTTTTTTGGTCAGAATTCTATCAGCTTGATTTCCCTTATAGTAGTAATTGGCTTTGAGTTTATTCCTAATTTTTACATTCTTTGCTATAAGAAAATTATTAATTCTATTCTGAATACTTTTTAGCTCATCTGCATTTTCTTTAGAGGGAAACTGCTTGTTCTTGCTTGCAGCCTTTTTCAATTCGTTTTGTAATACCATGAAAGATCTATTATTTGCTACTTTATATCTTGTTTGAATACTTATTATATTGCCTCTCATGGTAGATTTAAAAGCACACCAGTTATTTGTATATGAAGTATCATTTGGATCATTTTCAAGAAAGAAGGTTACTATTTGTTTTTCCATTATATCAAGATTGATCTTAGATTTTAATAAATTTTCATCCAAGCGCCAGGTATCACGACCAATCCCGATCCACTGATTCTTCATCTCCCACATATTAATGATCAGACCAAGTATTATCAAGTATCTTAAAATATTTAATATTCGTCAATGCGGTCATATTTCCCCAAACCATATCTATTCGAGAATACGAAAGATGTACCCGTGAAAAAAACGTATATTCCAATGAATTAGGATTGGTCGTTCTCCAAAGATCAAAATAATCAAAATTAATCATGTTTCTCTTAATAGATTTTGCCAGTTTATCTGTTCTTTTTTGATGTAATAGTATTGAAGATGTCTTCTTATCTAATATCGGATCCAATACACTATTAAAGTCCCCAGCCACCAAACATGTGCCTATTTTGACAGATTCCATTAAAGTTAAGACCTTTTTTAAGGTTGGAGCAGGAAAGTCATTAGGCAGATATATATTAGTCAATGTATAGGATATCTCATTCAATTTACAACAAACTATAACATATCTACCTTCCTTATCTTTAATTTGATGAATTATATCCACTTTTAATGAGTGGGAAAATACTATTGCTACTCCTCTTTTTTTTTCTCCACTTAAAGAAGCATGTATCATTATAGGGAATTTTGAACCACCCCAGCCCTGACTATCCATATCCAACCAGTGAGCCTCTTGAAAAAAAGCCCACTTCCACTTTATTTCTTAACATATAATCATAGATTAAAGATTTTTTGGTTAAAGAATTAAGGCCTTGGACATTAACTGAAATCATCTTTACCATATTAAATCAAAACTCATTGTTTCCACTGACCCCAAGAGAGCTGCAATGCATACACATACAACACAAAAGGTCCATTGAACATAGACCCACAAAAACCTTATGGGAAAAACCCCCAGTCTGGCCCAACACAGCCTGGCTCCCGAAAGGTTTCCTCTCGGCATACCACTCCAGGACCATCTGTGTCCTCGTGAGATGGTGTTTAGATTCACCATATCACGGAATTTGTGTCAACAAAAGAGATGACACTTGGTGGGGCGGTATGAGGAGAGTAACCGAAAATCTTGTTCCTTATTTTTAAGAAGACTCTACCATCTCCTATAGTTGCACAGAGGAGAGAAAAAAAAACAAAAAACTTATTTACAACCTAGATTCCCTGATAGTTATGAATATATTATCACTGACAGTTTATGTGGTGCTATTATTTTAAAAGATCTATCCAATTGGTTATAGAATATCTACCATTCTTCTTAGATAACTTACTATTACTACCCAACCAGTTGTGTGTTTGTGTGACAATATTTACAAATCTATCTAAGTATATCAAATCCTACCATGTGTTTTAATCCTATGATAATTATATATTTTTTTTTTATTTTCGTGAATAATTTATCTTCCTACTGTATATAGATAATCTTCCGTGATTCTTATTTAAATTACCAGAATCTCCTAACACTTTATCAATTTCTGATGCAGTGTGTAAAAATTGCATCTCTTTACTGTGTTCAAACTATCTAATTTTATAAATTTACTCAATCTATTTACATATTTTCTCCTTTAAAGTATTAACACTTAACTTCCATCTTAACATGTGAAAAAATAAACCCACCATTCACTTATTATTAACACTTATTCCTAACCTTTTGCCTATCTCCATCCTTTACTTATTAGCTAACTATTAGCACCAATCCAGCTGAAAGGGGAAAAAAAAAGAAGAGATAAATAAAAGATAAACAGAACTTGAATATAATTCTAAATGTTCCTTTACGTCCAAACAGCTGCGAACTACGGAGCATCTTCAGTTTTTGATTATTATTCCAAAATCATATAACACCCGTTATAGATTGATCTTCCATCCATTTTCTCAAAGAATCCAGAGTAGTAAATTTTTCGTTTTTTTCTCTCTAGAAGATCCTGAGGCATTTAGGAAATCCCCATATATATTTAACTTCTTTGGCTCTTAATATGGATAGTTCCTGGCTAAAGCTTTTCCGCCATGCTCTTGTATGGTAAGATAAATCAGGAAAAATCTTCAAGTTCTTAAATCTCTCTTCTGTGACCGGATTATTTCTCACAGAACTCATTATTTGGTTTTTAGTATAAAAAGACTGTAATTTAACAATTACATCTCTTGGTAATGATTCTGCCACATTTCTAGGTCTGGGTAACCTGTGGTATCTCTCTAATTCTGAGACTTGAAAACCAGCTTGAGGTAATATTATTTAAAAGTATTCCATCAACAAAATTTTCAGTAAAGAATCATTAATTTGTTCAGGGATATTACGGATTCTTATATTGGTTCTCCTAGAACGATCTTCCAAATCATTTAATTTGTCCTCCAATGATTCTACCTTGGTTTGTAGGTCTGTTATTACTGACTCTATGTGCACATTTTTTAAGTCTGTTTGCATCATCTTAGATTCTATGCATTCCAATTGGAGTTTCATATCTCTTATGTCGTTTTAAATCTAATGATCCTTTTTGGATATCTTCTTTAATATTATTCTGTAGTTTCTCCAGGTAATTAATTAAAATCTCTTCAGTTAGAGGTTTACCTACTTGTGCAGTGTGAGAGGGATTAGAGTTAGATTTGGGGGGAGGGGAGTTATCCTGAATTTCAGAATTCAGTTGGAATTTGTTTGGAGGTGGGGAGAAATATCCTGATAACCTTTTATCAGTAATGGGGTCTTTTTTTTTCCTTTCCTCCTGTGGCTTTCTAGTTGCCATTTTATTTTATATGAAAGGTCTTCTATACTTGTTGCTCTTCCCTTTTCTTTCTTATTATTTTTCTCAGTTTTCTTAACGTTTTTCTTTTCCTTTTCTTTCCTTTTTTCCTTTTCTTTTCTTTTCTCTACCTTTTCTCTCTCTGTTCTTTGCAGTTTTTCTTTTTTTTCCTTCAAGCAGACCTTGCTCCTTTTTTTTTTCTCCTTTTTCCCCCTTTTTTTTCCCTCCCTCTTCTCTTTTTAGAAACTCTCTTTTTCTTTAGTTATTAAATCTTTTTCTCCTTTATCCCACTCTTTCCTTCTCATTTCTTCACTTTTTTTGATTGCAAAGCCACAGAACTTATCCACAATATTTGTAGTTCAATTACTCAATAATGTTTTGAGGCTCCGCTCCTCAGCTTCTCAAAGTTCACAGAAGGAAGTATTTACAGTAGTTTCTATTAACTATTTTCCACTCTCAACCACTCTCAACCCCCTTCTCTCTATTACCCTTCTCAAATGCAATGTTATTCTGTTCGTTTTAATTATATCAGTAGTACATGTCAGTAGAACATAAAATCAGACTTATCTTATCAAGCCTGTATAACCGGCTTATATGTCGCGAAAAACTTCTCTTCGCACCGGACCGCCAGTGCAACTCCGAATGACCCGCACAATCTACTACGGAGGGAGTTGAAATCCAAAGTCTCATCCACCCGGTTTTGCTCTCGGTCAGCTCCGGCTCTCGGTCGCTCAAGCCAAGCCATGCTCACCCGGCCCGCCAGGGAGAAAAAAAACGCCGCCGGCCACTCTCCACCATACCGCCCCTCCCCTCACGTAGACACGCTCCCGCCTACGTCATCACGCCCTCACATGATCTAGTTTTTGTTTTATAATGGTCAAGTACACATCTTATTTAACATTTATCTTCCCAGGTAACATTTTGTTAACATTTAGTTTTTTTAATCATTGATGTAATACAAGATCAGGTCAAACACAGGTCCGCCTAATTTTTCCAGGAAAATGTGATAGTTCAGAAACACCAAGTCCCAATTCCACAGCTATCGGTAAAATTATCAGTATTTTTGTAATTTTGAAAAAAAATCTTTTTAAATATTATTCCAAATACCATGACCAGTTCAGTGTTTTGACGTGATCATGGTGCTTACAGTATGTAATATACAGAGTTTCACTATGCAGCCTAGGAGACCCAAGACCTCCACCAGCCAATCCTAATCTATTAAGTAAAGGGAGGTTATGTCACCAGAACAGGATCAGTCTGCAAGGAGGCCTTGGTATAGGATTGAAAGTGTGTATTTATTTTCTTTTGTAATAGCATATTTCCTTCGTTGCACCTTCCCCTTTGTGTAAACCAATCCACGTTTGTGTATTTATGTTGTTGTTTAGTCATTCAGTCGTGACCATATGGACCATAGCACACAAGGTACATCTGTTAGTCACTGCCCCTCTGAGTTCCAGCAACTTTATGTTTGTGGCTTCAGTGACCTAATCTATCCATCTCAGTCTGTCGTCCCCTTCTTTGTGTGCCTTCAATCTTTCCCAGCATCAGTCTTCTCTAGAGAATCCTGCCCTCATTATATGGCCAAAATATTTGAGCTTCAGCCTCATGATCATGTCTATTTATACTCCATGTTATTTAGACTCTAAGGTCATGTTAGTATGGCCATCAAGTCCCCCAACACATCTAGTTCCAGCAGATCACACTTTCCCAGATGAATATGTTTGATCCTCTACTGTAAACACATTCAAAATCACTTATAAAGTAACATAAATTGAAGGAAATAACTTCACACGCAGGTTGTTTGCACAGGTACATTTAATTCTTCCTGTGTGTACCAACAGTGCTCTAGGATCTTTATGAAACATTCAGAAAGCACATAAGTTAAATATTACATGGACTTAACATCACAACTTCACATTTAAACACCATTTATGAACTAAATACAGTGAATGGAATGGCATAAAACAATTACACCATGACCCCTTGTAAACAAGATCTAAAAGGAGCAGTGGTAACAAGTCAACTCAATGCTGATCACCGTACAAATGAGGAATGAAGTGTTACATATAACCCTATGTGCTGATTGGTCTGTCAGCAATAGCTCGGCAATGCCCGACCATATGCTCTTGCACCGCAGGACTTTAAATATATCTCTTTATACATAAATTCTGATTTGCTCAGTGGACATTTAAATATCTCATTGATTAAAAGCAACAATATATTTATAGAACGTTTTTTAAAATAAGGGAGAAAATAAGTAGCAAATGACAACTACAGGGGAAATCACCTTGGGAGAGGAAATGAGGAGCAAGCACAGGGTTCAGGGTGTTACTGTACTTCATACTCATTTCTGATCCAACAATACAACTACAGCTTTATTTTACTTAAAATCAAGCAGGTTGCAATCAATTTTGTAGTATACATATGGGTAGTACTCTTGCTGGCTGAGGTTTAATCCTGGAATATCCATTGGAGCCTGCATGGGAAATAAAGATCACATTTTAAAAAAACAGGTACAATCAGTAGCTATGCTTTATAAGCCCGGTTAGGCAAATTCCAGCTGGCGTTCTGTTAAAAACACCCCTAATGCAGTATCCAACTACATTACTGGAAGTGGCAGGATAGGAAATGCATTCAATCCAAAGAATGACTAGAAAGAATGTCGAGCACAAGTTACAGCCAACTGCATTCACTTTTAGTTGTCTCAGACCCTTTGCCATCTAGTTATTTAGTATAAAGTCTCTTGACTAAACAGTATAGTTTTAACGTCTATGCAGTATTGCTCTTTAAGACAAAGAGCAACGCCCCCAAAAGCACGGAATGTTTACAACTATCTCACTTGTGGCTGAACGAGGCAACTGCATGGAATTCTACACATGGAAAAGTGCGTCTACAGTGCTCTAAGTTTGTGCAGGCTTTCTAGCTGTTAGTAAGGCTGAGGGCACTATCCCCCTCTTGGGATCTGCTTGCAGACATATTATTATTTAAATTGAATGCCCACCCTCTCTTTTTTTTTTTTTTAAACACCAATTTGAAGGCATTCAACGTTTATGGATATGCTATGAAAGAATTATACTAACCGTATGTACATAGCAAAACATTATTTACTCACATCAATTATGGATGCAGCACTGCTGTCCAAGTGTTTGTACAGGTCATATAAAACCTCCCTCAGTTTTTTCATGGTTTTCTTATTGGGTTGAAGCAGCATTGCTTGGAAGTTGACCGGTAAGCCATACCTAACAGTAAAAGTTTTATTATACATAATTATTTTATATAGCTGAAAAGATAGGCAGACGACCCGGCTGGATATATTAAACAGAACAGTAAATGTTTTGATTAACATGTTTGACAATATTAACCTAAGAAAACGTAATCTAAATCTTTGTTTGAATGATACAGGGGTATATACTAAAAAGGTATTATTGTATCCAGTGCCTGTAATTACTTTTATATTAAACAGTATATACACAAGGGTTTCATGATCTCATTGGGAAATCTGTACTTACCTTAAAACAGATTCCACAAACACCCGCAAAGCTTTAACGTGGATCCAAGCAATGAAAGCTTCACTGAAATTGACTTTGAGCCATCGAACTAGGGGGCCCTGGGGACAACAAAAAGTTTTAATATTGACACGTTGCAAACTTGAACTGAGAATTAGCGTTGATCAATTTGTATTTTGGGTTGGAAATTAAGCATAAAAAGTAGCTCTGTCATCAGAAACAGAATATGCAATATCCCAATACATGTCCAAAAACTGACAATATTTGGATATTGTTTTCAATCCGTCAACAGGTTGGTTGTTTAAAAAAAAAAAAAAAAAAAAAAAAAATACAACCTTACATGGACCGTAGAAAACTGTGGACTATTCTGCAAATACAGTTTGTTTGAGTGCTGACTTTATTCTGAAATTAGTAAATAAAAAATATATAGTAGTTTAACAAACCGAAGATATGAAACGCAAACAATAGCGCAACACTAAAAACAATCACTATAGACAATGAAGTGACAAACTCAAGGTTTTGAATTCGTAAAAATTATGGTTAAAGGGTTCTTATTACTAAAGCAATCACTGATTTATTTCTCAATGGATTAGTAATGATTCAACTTCCCTCCCAATTGCATCTTAATGGAACACAAAAAAAAAAATGTATTGCACTTAATCTTAATATACTAAAAAGCATGTCACGAACATCACCGGCCAACAAAAATATTGGGACGAAGTAACTGATGCCAGGAAGATGTTGGTAGTTCGCTTTATTTGTGACATGCTTTCTATTTCATTTTAGAAGAGAAGTACAAAAACATCCTGCAATATTTCCTTTATATACTCCATTAAAGGAAGACTTACGAAGGAGGTTGAATTGTTGTCAGTGCAGATGGACATTGGTGATATACAACGCAAAGCCTCAGTCACAACCATTTTAGCTCATTTAAAGCTTTCTCACAAAGTACTTCTATACTATAGTGATCATCTTATCAGTGTTATCTTGCTTTTTATTTGATAGGTTTCTTGTATTGTATCCCCCGTTGGAACAGCAATGAAAAGCATTTTCATTATGTATTTATTTGGGGTGTTACTTTTATACTTTTGCATGATCTGTGTAACAATTTTATCACTCACCTTTTTTAATATTTAAAATCTAGATTTTTGTGTTTGTTTTTTATCGTCCACATTCAACCACTGGCAGATCTTCAAGTGGTAGTTCCAGCTAAACTGACTTTTTGTTTTTGTTTTAAAGTTGTGCAAAAAAGGGAGATTGCAGGCGACAGAGCCACGAAATACATACTACATCCTAGTATTTGCCTTTAAAATGACATTCCGTGGACCAATACAACTTTAATGCATTTGATACATTTTGGCCTCATTAGCATGCTGTAATTTTTTCAATGCTGAAATCTTTATAGTATTTGCATTAAAAAAATGTTTTATGGATTGCTACACCATAAGCCTGCCCACAGAGCACATTTATGAGGCCAAAACACATCAAATACATTAAAAAGTTATATTGGTGCCCAGAGTGTCCTTTTAAGTTAAGCCGATTAACAGTGTATGTCCTAGTTCAGTCATCTTTGCGTTGATCAGAAATACACAATGTTTATCTATGTATGTTCGGTGATTTCTTTCTCAGTTTTAGCAGCTGATCCTAAAGCAGCGGATGTTTAAAGTAGTGTCTCATGGCATATTATAGAATGATCTCTTCGTTACTATTTTAATATACATAAAGGTATGTAAATATTAAATAATAAAAGTAGTTTCATGATAGCTCTAAGTGATAAACTAAGGGAATAGATAAGAAAATGAGAACCAAGGATTCCAATTTGGTTTGGCATTCTAAAATATATTAGGACACAGTATGCATTGTTGCTCTGTGCTGATGGGGAACAGTAACTCTATAGTAATATGCAGTGTAAATATTAAAAGGCAACACAAAGTGCAATTGCAGTAAATCACTGTAGGTTATTATAGCAGGAAGACCCTGAATATGGAGAGATGGGGTCTTGATTGTTCTCTGGAAATGCAGAGTATTCCTGATTGTAGTTCCCAAGGGGGCATTTTTACAATCCAGGGCTCAATGCAGATCTATCAAAAAACCCAAATTAGGACAAAGTCTCTTGTACGTTCATAACTTAAAGCACTAGAAAGCCTGTGAAGCATGTTACACTGGTTAGAAATTCCACTAATGTACAGGAAATGTCTGTGGCAAAATCAGATATGATTAATGTAGCATTGTAGTATACAGTTTCTGCAACAGATTCCCTTTACAAAGACCATCTGGTTGCCCTATTGCTAGTACATTGCCCACAACTGATTAATGGCAACTGTTTAGATGTAGTATACAATGTTTGTATTTGGTTTTGTACAGCCTTAGTGTGCCACAGTTACTTACAGACAACTTATGTTAACAAGTGATATTTTTAGCAAATGGACAGAAATGCAGGTCTGTAGTAGAAATGTCTACTAGGGTGAGCTAGACAAAGTGTAAACCTATAAAACATGTTTTTACAGATTCTTACAAACTGTTTCTTCTTATCAGTGGAGAGTCTGTTCATTTCTTCCTTATCGGCTTTCATTTCCTCTTCATTGTACTGGAAATCGCGAACAATAAATCTACAATAGAGAACAAAATCAATTTAACTGGGTGCAAACATCCAATGATAACTTCCTTTCGCGGATGCACACAGTGATCTTACTTATTTTCTCTGGCTTTATGTCGGAAGTCATCTACAGCTTTCCTGAACAAAGTAACATTGCAGAGATAACTGTCCTGGTCTTCTGATAGAACACTGTTAAAATAAAAAAGAGAAATGGCATGTTATCGCTAAATCAGTAACATTATGCCTTACACATCATATTGAAACGTTTTAAAAAGATAACGTTTTAGTTACAATACAATAAAAGGCGGGTATTGATTTAAAGCCCTGTGTCTCTTTTTGCCGGTTGATATGCCGTTCTTTTATTGGCCACAGTTGTATTTTGACACTGCTACAGCCATGGATAAAAAACTATAATGATGAACTTTAAATTGTTTGGAAATGGCCTTATAACCCTTCCCAGTTTAATGGGCAGGAACAATTGAAGTCTTTCCTCCTTGGCATTGTGTTAACACACACCTGAATGCTCTAGACCAGCAAACTGCTAAAACATCAGCTTGTAAAGAGATGGTCAAACTTGCTGATAATCAATTAACCGAGGGCATTTGATTAGCAGCACCTGTTTGCGGTATGGAAGCAGTAAGGATGTACTTAGTTTTTGACACATGGCTTCTCCACTCTGACTTTATTTTTGTTAAATAAATCATGGCACGGTGTAATAGGTCATGTGTTGTTTAACTGAAGTTGTATTTACCCAATTTTAGAACCTGCTAAAAAACAGATTAGTATGTCCTGATGCGTAAAACCATAGAATTAAAAAATGGTGTATTTTCTTTTTCATGTGACTGTATATCTTGCACTTAACTGCTCCGAGAGCCAATTACTCTATTTTTCTTAGCTTTTACTTTTTTACTCGAACGGTAGGGTTATATTAGTAATGACAGGCGAGTAGGATTGATGAAATTTACGGATCGCTGAACACGAAGGCATGTTGATGACAAACTAGTGGGGGAGCATTATAACTACCATTTTATTTTTGGAATGGTTAAAGAGAGTTCTATAATTTTGTTTCTGTAGCCCTAGCAACACATCCCTGTATGTGACTTGCAGAGCCTTTAAAAAAAAAAAAAAAAAAAAATTCTGTAAAGAGAGATCTAATGTTTAAACTTATTTTATTGCACATTCTGTTTAACCTCTCTGGCGGTCTGATTATGTCAGTATTTTTTTAATGTTAAAGCGGTACATTGTTTTGTATGGAAATTTGTTGTTTCATATTGTAGGCTTGTAATTAAGTGTTCTTGCATAGCAAGACCATTTAATGTCATCTCACATATATATTATTATTATAGCAAAATTTGCCACCCTAACTCCTCCCACAGTTTTTACACTACATAGACAAAAATTTACCAAAACGTGCAGATTGTTCCCGATCGGATTGCTATTACTTTGTGGAACGTTTCACCGAATGGTTCACGGAATATCGTCGTTCTTGTGGCGCAATTTGTCCCATAGGAATGAATGGCAAAGCTAGAGTGGGAGCTGGCAAAAGCTGAAAAATCAGGACATGATTTCTAAACTGCCACCACTCCCTTATTTCAAGCCCATCTACACAAATCATATCAAAACGTTCAGCTATCCCTGCTGCCACTAAACATGTCAACGGCTAAGCCATAGTCCTGATAGTTTTCACAATATAATCATTTGTTTGCAACTAACGCCGTCCATTGACATTCATTGAAACTTCACTCTACAAAACTCAAATTTGAAGTGCAATTTCTAAACTGCGACTGTGCCTTCAATTTTAATACTTCAGAGACATACTATGCATCGAAATGTAGGTCTGGGTCCTGTGATTCTCACAATATAAAGCTCTTCACTGTAGGATTTATAGTTTTTAAAATACGACCGTTTGAATATGGCAACCGCCAAAATACTCTGACCTGTGTCAGGCTGCAGCAGCAAGTGATGTCATAGACAGGGCCTTTTGAACATCTGCTAAAGTTTTTATAAATGTATGGTTTAATGTAACTGTGCAACAACGTTGCAATTAAATGTGCTATATAAATGATAACAGTTACTCCGCCCACTCCAGTTGTAGACTACTGGTGGAGGCAAGAACACTTCACACAATTTCCCCAGAAATTGTAGCTTTTCTAGTTCTTAGGAATAATTCACTTAAATCTGTCCAAATAAGAGTCTAGTAAACATCACGGGTATGACAAAGTTTGAAACACAAAATCATAAAATATAATTATAAAAAATAATAGAATATAAAAAATGTAATTAAACCAAAAATACTGAAATTTGTCCAAACAAGGGTCCAATAATACTAGTCACTGTAATACTAGAAACTGCATTTTAGTTTAGTAAACATCCCAGGTATGGAAAACGTTTGAAACATGGAACTGCACAAAGTCCTTGTCACAATCAGGACAATGGAACCTGGTTTCCTTTCTGATTTTCTTTCCACTGTCATCGTTGCAGGTGTTGACTTTTTCTTGGTTGATGGGATGTAGCCCATGAAGTGACGACCAGTCAGGCGTTCTGGGTTGTCAACGCCAACAGCACGACATCCAGCTCTATTCACAGCCATTGATGGTGTTAGATGGTTCACAAAGATACGTTCAGCAACTTTCCAAATGAAGTCAGAATGAATCACAGGCTTGTCACTCTTTAACAGAATGTAGGCATTCCACAAGCATTGCTCAAGAAGAGGCCGGAAGATCTTCTTGTAGTACTTCTTTTGCTGTTTCCTCATTGCTGGGTAGAATATCGACACCTCCCACAAAGTTATTGTAGTCTAACACTACTTATGGCTTCATGATTTCTTTCCCACCTTTCAGACGTACTAGAACAGTGGAGGTATTATGAACTGTACTCATTAGGCACACATCTTTTTTGTCACGCCATCACAGTGCCATCATTTTGCCAGGCAACCATTTCACAAGACTTCAGCTTCTTATTGCTAAACATTGGCGGCATGCTTTACGCTGACATGACCGTACCAAAGAATGGAGTGGCAAGTAATTTATTAGTTGTCCAATACCACTTCTGCAGGGGTTTGCCCACCACTCTGAGACGTATTATTAGTCCCAGAAATTTCCAAATGTCATCTTTGGTCACTGGTTCCCACTTTCTGCTTCTTGACAATATTCGATGAAGAGTAGCTAATTGTTGGTCTCCGTAATTATTTTTTCAATAACCTCATCGGTCAGAAATAATTGTAAGTATGCCAGGGGGTTGTTGTGTTCAACGTCTACTTTCATACCAGATGTTCCAGCAAATGGGAATCTTGGGGGCACTGCCTGATCCGTACCACAGTCAATAGAGCACCAAGTTTGCACATCACTGAGCACAGTCACAAAATCGTCGCTGTCGTCACTTTCCGTGTCTGATGACAAATTTTCCCATGAATCACTATTGCTTAATTCTGCAAGTGATTCTAATTCACTATCGCTGTTTTCTAGCTGGTGACCTAAAGGGACGCTTTTTGGATGCAATGGACATTCAAGTTTCCAGGCAGAAAGAACGGTAAAATGAGCAGTGTGGCCTCAATGTTTTAACCCCTTAAGGACACAACTTCTTACATAAAAGGGAATCATGACGGAATATTTCCATCATGTGTCCTTAAGGGGTTAAATGCAAACATAAAACCAAAAAATTATCTTTAAATTATGTCAATTTTTGCCATGGTGCCATAAGAGATTTCAGAAGAAAATACTTTATTTTCTTTGGCTCTTTCCCTCTTGAAATCAAACAATTCAAAAGCCTTTTCCTTGGTGCTTCTGTCTCGTCAGTCATTTACCTTATTTTTTTTTTTACCAGAACAATTTGAAATGAAACTCACTTGCTAGAACGTGGAACCACCATCTCGGAAAGCGTTTCATATTGTTTAACCCAGTCATTGTAGTTTAATCTGTTAAAACAAAATAGAGAACAACTTCAATTAGGTCTCTATGCACCAAGAATTAACATTGTGCATCATAGCTACTTCAGCAAAATCTAATCTATTGGCTCCTTCACCTTGTTTTCTGTCAATCTGTTTCCATCAGTGAAATCACATGTTGGAGGGGGTGGGGAAGGTCAAGATAGGTGAGTTTTATTTACTGTGCTAACAATTCACATGCAAATATAATGGTCTTTTACTGGGGTGAATAAAAATATAACTGGTACAAATAAAAATGAGTGGCACTTCCTCTTAAATGTCTACAAATTTACAGGGCACCTCTAGGGTCTCTGACACCACACGCCGGTAGTACGTGTATTTATTTACAGTCATGCCCAAATAATGCGTCCTGACTGACTATTTGGTGTGCATTAAAGACCAAGAGAGTCTTCTGGCGCTCTCCTATGAGATGGCCCAATAGTAATAAAGAGTCCACTACTTAAATCCCAGCTTTATGGTTTTTGTTTAACCCAAAAACACTTGTGTGATTATTCTGACTCTCGGATACTGACCTTTGCATGTTATTGGCTTAGTCTGCTATCAGCAATCCTGATATTTGGCTTGTCTACCGTTTACTCTGTTTTCTCCTACCCTTGACCTTGGCTTTCTCTGACCATTCATACTTTAAAGTCAGCCACTCTAAGCACCGTTAACATAGATTATAGAACTCGCTGTTGTGAAATCAGATCTTGTTTTGGGGGTTCCTGCTATATTGTGACAAAATTAAAGCCATAAACTCAACTCTACACAAATTTAACATCAGAGTATTAACACGTAGTAAAGCTGAAAGATAATATCCAAGTATACTTACTTTGGTACAACCACCAAAAGAGTGACCAGATATTCAGATTCCAGCACAAAGTCATCTTTTTTCACAATTTCAGCTAAGCTTCTAGTTACTAAACTTCCCCTACAATTGAAAAAAAAAAAAAAAAGCATAAGAATGTTTACAGAACGTAAACCGTATATAGTTTTTTTCTAAATTTGTGTCCAATTTATTTTTAGAGGTAGGTGATACAAAAAACTGCTATTACATGAGCACTAAAGTGTTAGCAATACACATCTATAAGGCCAAAAATAAAGACTTTTCTTTGTAAAAGTATTGTATATGTTTTGTGTTTTTTTTTCTCATCACAGTGACTATGTATGGCTTGCAATAATCAATATATATGATATATATTGACAATGGGAGAATGGAAGACAAAGAGGGAAAATAAGGCAAAAACAGATTGTCTATAAAAGGAAACTTTACGCATTTTTTCTTTCGAGATTCTGAAGATTTCCTTTCAGGTTATTATAAGCAGAGGCTCTTGCTTTAAGGTCATTATCAATCTGTGTTACGCCCTGAAATGGAAGAAGGTGAGAATTAGACATCTGTGGTAACATCAGAACGCTTTAATAAATTGTAGTGGTAATCCTGTTTGGTGTGTCCCTTTAATATGTGCGACTAACAAGGCAATTTTGGAGATAAAGTCAGAAATTCAACAAACCTGTTAAATCTATGGAAACTAAAATTAGTAATAGTATAAAACTAACTATATTAATACCTTTGATAGTTTTAAAAAGATTCATTTTTTTTTTTTTTAAATGTCGCTTTGGATAAAGGGAAATTCTGTAATCTTACTGCAACGTATGTTTATTCTGGTTAATACGCAAATAAAATGAGCTAGTAAAATCAACTTTTGGAAAACAAAACAAATTTTAATAAAAAAATCTAGTTATGTTTTCCTCTGTGTCTGGTATGGAAGTTAAAAAAAAAGTTACTTTGATCATTTTATGAAAGCCTACTTTTTTTATTTTTTAAATGTTTTATCTGTTCCCTTTGACTAGAAGACTTCTCTAAACAACAAATAAATACAAGATTTTAAGGTTTTGTAGGCTGAATGGCCCATAACTAACAGCAAGTGAATAAAAGGCACTCCATAAACAATATATATATATATATATATATATATATATATATATATATATATACACATACACATACATATATATATATACATACATACATACATACACATATACACACATACATACACACACATACATACATACACACATTGTTTATGGAGTGCCTTTTATTCACTTGCTGTTAGTTATGGGCCATTCAGTCTACAAAACCTTAAAATCTTGTATTTATTTGTTGTTTAGAGAAGTCTTCTAGTCTTAATTAACATTTATATATGTTAATTATGAGCAGTGCAAACACTTTAATGTTATCCCTTCACAGATTCAACTCTAAAATACACAATACCAAACAGGAATTCAAGGGAAAATTCATCAATATATAAAAAGCAAAAAATGTGTACAATAAGAGTGCAGAGTGAAAAACAAACTGAAGAAAAAGAAATAAACCAAAGAAATTGAAATGTGTATACAAATAAATATACTTAAACTAAGTTGATTGGATGTTGTGGCAACTTGCAAACTATAGAGCCCAACCTTGGCTCTATATGTAGCGCTCCATACATAAGGAAGAAATTATAGACTTTTAAATATGTATCAGCCTATGGAAAGAGGAGGGATGTGCATGTATCGATGTTATTTTAGTTAATTTTATTTCTTTTGTTCTTTATTTTTAAGTCTGCACTACTGATGAGTTACCTTCCGAGTCAGAGGAACACTGCAATTTTCCATGTTCGGTATTTACTTATTTTGCACTTTGAGTGTACTTTTTGTATTTGAAAAAGAGATGACGACAAACTTACAGATCACTTTAATATAGATCTTACTTTTGCAATTATTTCAGCAATGTTCTTTAGGGACTGTTTAATTGGATACTTTGCCATATCCCACTGGAACCTGGTAATGTATGTCACCAAATCAACTAAGAAAAGAAAGAAGAAAAAAATGGAAGGAAGATCAGGATGTGAGAGAAGAGCACTAACCTTTAACGCACATTAAAATAAATGTATATTCATAGGAAGGTCATTCACTCAAACTGAGGTGACGGTGCCAAACCCCCAACACTTCATAGTTTTAGTAAATATTCAACCTTCCCTAATTATTTACCTTCTACTGTTTCATACATATTTACTGCCAGAGAATCTCTATAGGGGCTATAAAACACAGGATCTTAATACATAGCAGGGGAAGACTACATCCCCCATCATGACCTTACACCCATAGTGCTGGCAAATCATCATGGGAGGTGTAGTCCAAAACATCTGGAGTGCTGAAGGTTGCCTATGCCTGATATATAGTAAAAGACTTACCAGGACCTCGACTGTTACATCACTTAGCAGCCGCAGTACTCGGTTTGCATTTTCACATCGCCGAGGATTCAACCCGGCATAACATAGTAACCATTTAGTTACGGTTTTGGTTTGCATCCCAACGACATATTGCAACATAGTATACTAATATTGTAGCAAACTACAGCAGATTTAGTGAGTTGATATTTATCTATCTTTACATTACAGAGCAAATTTCTAATTGTTAATATGTATATTGTGCTTATTTAGCACCATTAGGTGTTGTCTCCACCTAGTGGCAACTTTTGAGATTGTCTCCACTTTTATAATACATCCTTTTTTTCATTTTTGTATATATTTTTAAAAAAAGTTACGTTTTATACTATATTTTTCCATTAACATAGGCTTACAGCTAGTTCCTCTGGTCTTCTTACAAAGTAAAAGACAACTTCCACTAATTACTTAGCTATTGCTTTTAAAGGGATACTCTAGTGCTCCCACGCACCACCAGCCCCAGTGTAAGGGTTATAAAAAAAAAATAAAAAAAATAAGGCCCACGGCGCTAGGTCGGAGCTCAGCCTGATCCGACGTCACACGACGGGGACGCTAATGCACATCGAACGCCGCAAGCACATTAGGACTACACCATAGGAAAGCATTGCTGCAAAGTTTTCCTATGGGTGTTTGGGTGATGTTGGATGACGCAAAGTCCGCCTAACCACCAGGAAGTGCCTCTACTGGCTGACTGGCAGCTGAAACACTGCAAGATAATTTGCAGTGTTTCAGAAATTGCAATAATTAACAATGCAGGATTAAGAGGACAGGGTCACTGCACTTCAATGAGCTGAAGTGGTCTGGGTGCCTATAGTGTCCTTATAGATCATGAGATCACAGATCATGAACCCATCAAGTATGTACATATGCTCTTAGCAGATTATGGTATTTAGTATTGAGCTTTAAGAATGTATCTATCTTATTCATAATGCAAACAGAAAAAGTGAGCATTTATTCAGGTTTCATTGTTTTAACTGGAGTACATGGTATTCCATATAGGTGGGTGCTGTGTAGCTGCCTTACTCAGATAAGAAAACATTTATTTTTTTTAAGGGCACAAATAGCATCAGAGTAATTTATATATATATATGATATTCCTTTCAACTTTGCATACCTCCACTGGCCAAAAGGTTCTCCTGAACCTTATCTCTGCTATCCTCCAAAACATCAGCCATGTACTGAGCCACTTTCTTCACCGTTCTAGAAGGAAAAGATAAAATAAAAATAGAGGTTATTAGAAATATGTTCTTTTAAATTTGTATACAAGTAAACAGTTATCCGACAAGAGGGGGGTCAGGTAGGAGAGTGAGCAATCCGTGTTTAGTTTTTTATAATCATGCCAAGTTAGTCTACTTCTAACATGTGCAAGTGTTAAAGAGAAAATAAAAGAGGGTGTTGTGTGAGACATTTGTGTGTGTCTTCCAATCTGCTTTTGTAATCCACATTTTTGATAGAGAAGTTAAATGCATAGCCTGTAAACATTAGTTTGGAGCAGAATATATCAGTTCAACTCTGTATATAAGGCTCTCATTTTTTACCAAATTATCCTTCTAAACATGGCACTTACAAACAGCCATCATATTTTGTCCCTGTACAGCACTGATGCCAACTTTGGTTTCATTCACATTTTATGCAACAAACTATTTAACGCTTGTAAAGATTTTACAAGATGACTTCACTTTACAGTAATGTTCTCTGGCAGATAATTTCAACAGCAATTAGAGTAGATATGTTGATTACAAAAATACAAAGCACTTAATAAATGGCACAGTTTCTTGCTAAACAGGGTCTTTTTTTGTTTTTCTTCTTTCTTTAAGTGAGCTGGTAAAAAATGTGACACCTCTTTGATTGAACCACATGCTGCAGCGTGTTATTTTTTTATTTTATTTTTTAAACACACCAGCAATTGTGAGTTAATTGATACCTCTGACCTAGTTGCCTTTTTATCCTTAAAATCAACTTTTTTTAAATGTACTAACCCACCTTTAAAGTGCATTCCAAACTAGAAATTTCATTACGCAATGTATTAAAAATACAAATACTAAAAAGAATAGGAAAAAATACTAATATTTTAATTTCCAATGTTTCATGCATTTAGAATCTGAGCCAATTTGTATAAAAATATAGATACACAATGTATGCTTAAAGGACCACTCTAGGCACCCAGACCACTTCAGCTTAATGAAGTGGTCTGGGTGCCAGGTCCTTCTAGGGTTAACCCATTTTTTTTATAAACATAGCAGTTTCAGAGAAACTGCTATATTTATGAATGGGTTAAGCCTTCCCCCTAATCCTCTAGTGGCTGTCTCATTGACAGCCACTAGGCTTGCGTGCTTCTCACTGTGATTTTCACAGTGAGAGCATAGCGTCCATAGGAAAGCATTGTAAATGCTTTCCTATGCGACGGCTGAATGGCGGCAGCTCTTGCCGCGCGTGCGCATTCAGCCCAGGAGGAGGAACGGAGGAGGAGAGCTCTCCGCCCAGCGCTGGAAAAAGGTAAGTTTTTAACCCTTTCCTCTCCCCAGAGCAGGGCGGGAGGGGGTCCCTGAGGGTGGGGGCACCCTCAGGGCACTATAGTGCCAGGAAAACGAGTGTTTTCCTGGCACTATAGTGGTCCTTTAATCAGACATTTCAGGATGAGAAACACAAGTTAATAAAGTATGTGTGTATGGTGTGTTTGGGGCGAGAACTACAGATGTACAGCTTCAATGTTTAGACAGTATTCTTACCCTTCTACAAATGAATCTAGTTTTGCAAGTTCATCAGACAGCCCAACTAGCACATCCAGAGTGCCAACCTAAAGATTTCAAAGAAGAGAAGTCATTAATGCACAAATTTCCCCCGATAAAACCAACATATACAATATAACCATGAAAGCAGCGAAAAGAATAAAACGGAAAAGAAAATGTGGCTCCTTCAAAAATAAATAGTTACATTTCTAGTAGCAAATGACAGACAAGCATCTTTTAATTATCACTATAAAACAAGTAGAGTATGTATATTTTACAGCCCATTTAAAAAATGAAATTAAAATGTGTGTGTGTATATATATATATATATATATATATATATATATATATATATATATATATATATATATATATATATATATATATATATATATACACACACACACACACACACACACACACACTGCTCAAAAAAATAAAGGGAACACTTAAACACCACAATGTAACTCCAAGTCAGTCACACGTATACCCTTAATGGAAGCGAATTAGGGATAACAACACATGAAAAGGACTTAGGAATTGTTATAGACAACAAACTATGCAACAATGTGCAATGTCAATCAGCAGTGGCCAAGGCCAGTAAGGTATTGTCATGCATGAAAAAGGGCATTCATTCTCGGGACAAGAATATAATTTTGCCTCTTTATAAATCACTGGTAAGACCCATATTGAATATGCTGTGCAATTTTGGGCACCTGTTCTAAAGAAGGATATTATGGCACTAGAAAAAGTGCAGAGGCGGGCTACAAAATTAATAAAAGGAATGGAACATATCGGCTATGAAGAAAGGTTAACAAATTTAAACCTATTTAGTTTAGAAAAACGTCGCCTGAGAGGGGATATGATAACATTATACAAATATATTCGGGGCCAATACAAACCATTGTGTGGAAATCTATTCACAAACCGGACTTTACATAGGACACGAGGCCATGCGTTTAGACTGGAAGAAAGAAGATTTCGTCTAAGGCAAAGGAAAGGTTTTTTACTGTAAGAACAATCAGGATGTGGAATTCTCTGCCTGAAGAAGTGGTTTTATCAGAGTCCATACAGATGTTCAAACGGCTACTAGATGCATACTTGCAAGAACAGAATATTCAAGGATATAATCTTTCAATGTAGGGTAATAACTGCTTGATCCAAGGATAAATCTGACTGCCATTCTGGGGTCAAGAAGGAATTTTTTCCTAGCTTGTTGCAAAATTGTGCTTCAAACTGGTTTTTTTTGCCTTCTTTTGGATCAACAGCAAAAAACAAATGTGAGGTAGGCTGAACTTGATGGACGCAAATCTCTTTTCAGCTATGTAACTATGTAATCAAACTGTCCACTTAGGAAGCAACACTGAGTGATTTCACATGCTGTTATGCAAATGTTATAGACAACAGGTGGAAATTATAGGCAATAACAAGACACCCCCAATAAAGGAGTGGTTCTGCAAGTGGTGACCACAGACCACTTCTCAGTCCCTATGCTTCCTGGCTGATGTTTTGGTCACTTTTGAATGCAGGCGGTGCTTTCACTCTAGTGGTAGCATGAGACGGAGTCTATAACACACACAAGTGGCTCAGGTAGTGCAGTTCATCCAGGATGATACATCAATGCGAGCTGTGGCAAGAAAGTTTGCTGTGTGTCAGCATAGTGTCCAGACCATGGAGGTGCTACCAGAAAACAGGCCAGTACATCAGGAGACATGGAGGTGGCCGTAGTAGGGCAACAACCCAGCAGCAGGACCGCTACCTCCGCCTTTGTGCAAGGAGGAACAGGAGGAGCACTGCCAGAGCCCTGCAAAATGACCTATAGCAGGCCACAAATGTGCATGTGTCTGCTGAAAGGGTCAGAAAGACTCCATGAGGGCCCGACGTCCACAGGTGGGGTTGTGCTTACAGCCCAACACCGTGCAGGACGTTTGCCATTTGCCAGAGAACACCAAGATTTGCAAATTCGCCACTGGCGCCCTGTGCTCTTCACAGATGAAAGCAGGTTCACACTGAGCACATGTGACAGACGTGAGAGTCTGGAGACGCTGTGGAGAACGTCCTGCTGCCTGCAACATTGTCCAGCATGACCGGTTTGGCAGTGGGTCAGTAATGGTCTGGGGTGGCATTTCTTTGGGGGGCCGCACAGCCCTCCATGTGCTCGCCAGAGGTAGCCTGACTGCCACATCAAGTCTCGCTCCATCCACCAACGTTACGTTGCACCACAGACTGTCCAGGAGTTGGCAGATGCTTTAGTCCAGGTCTGGGAGGAGATCCTCAGGAGACCATTCGTCACCTCATCAGGAGCATGCAGAGGCGTTGTAGGGAGGTCATACAGGCACGTGGAGGCCACACACACTACTGAGCCTCATTTTGACTTGTTTTAAGGACATTACATCAAAGTTGGATCAGCCTGTAGTGTGTTTTTCCACTTTAATTTTGAGTGTGACTCCAAATCCAGACCTCCATGGGTTGAAAAATTTGATTTCCATTTTTAAATTTGTGTGATTTTGTTGTCAGCACATTCATATAAAGAACAAAGTATTTCAGAAGAATAATTAATTCAGATCTAGGATGTGTTATTTTTGTGTTCCCTTTAATCTTTTGAACAGTGTAACAAACACACACACACACACACACACAAACAATAACTTCAAAATGTTGAAACACTTTATCTCAAATGGTTTAACCCCAAAGGTTGCCTCCAGCGCTGTGTCTCCCTTTCCCCAGCTGCATCTGGCTTCTTCAATGAACTTTAAGGTAGCGCAGAATGCCGCTAAATGGTTGGAGCAGTCAGCTGACACTCTAAATCAATCGTTAGTTCTCAGTTCATGACCGCTCTAGCCATTCAGCAGCACTTCATGCTTCCTGAAAAATCAATTAAAGAAGGCAGATGCGGCTAGGGAAAGTGATGTCTGGCGTTGGAGGCAAACTTTGGGGTTAACCCCTTAAGACCGGAGGGCGTACTATTAGGCCCTATTTTAGGCGGCTCTAAACGCCACCAGGCGTAATAGTACGCCCTCCGTTTTTTTCTTACTTACCTGGTCGCCGGCGATCGCGGTTGGGGGGACTCCCAGGGAGCCCCCCGCGGCGGATCCCCCGTCCTGCAGACCCCCCCGGCCATGTGAGAGTGAGGTCCTGCGAGGACCTCACAATCACATGGCCAGGATAGCTGCCTGCTGTATTGCCAGCAGGTAGTCCCCCTGCTGGCTGGAAATAAAATACAATTAAAAAGTGTAAAAATATATATATATATATATATATATATATATATATATATATATATATATATATATATATATATATATATATATATATATATATATTACTAATGGGCACTAGGACACTATAGCTTTAGGAATACAGCTTTGTATATTGTTTGTTTAACCCCTTAAGGACACATGACAGAATTGGACCAATTGGACCACGGACAAAGGAAGACGCCCACTGAACCACCAATGGACTTGGGGATTAACCCTATTTAAAAGGGACTTGCGTGTGGAAATGGTTAGGCTGCTTTGATTGTATGTTTGTCACATTGATTTTAAGGTCCCTGAGGAATGTCCAAGTATTGGGACGAAATGCATAGGACCAAACCTCTGCTGGTTTTAAGCATTATATTGGTGTTCAGTCACCTTTTTATTGATAATAAAGCGGCCAATTTTTTCTACCTTCCCATCTGGAGTCCTGATTGTAAGTTGCACATACAGACCGTGGAGAGGAATTTACAGCCCCCTCATCATCGGGGGAGGCACCTTTTGAGCGCTTTTTATATCTACAGCCTGTGAGTGCATATATTTACAAAGCACATATTTCACTTTAAACTGTATTACACTATATTTTGCTTTATGTACTTTTTAGATTTAACAGCCGGTTCCTTTATGTTTTTGTTGTCTATATTCAAAGTGACAAAGCATGAAAACAGAGGCTTCACTTCTGGCTCAAGTTACTATATATTCTAGATATTTGTAAGGTTTGATATAGCAGGTTTAAATACTGGTATTATAGAAATATAGGCTTTAACTGTATTTATTGAATGTGGGCATTTTGCATAAATTTTCAGCAAGTTTACTGCTAGTAATGCCCTACAAATAGCTACAAGCAGGGTATTTAGCCATTTGTATTTATCTATTTCACATCTACCATATATATGGAAAAAAATGCATTTTTGCTTTTAGAACAACCTTTCAGACCCAGTATTAAATATTGCAAGATAAAGGACACTATATACTGTTTAAAGCTTTTAGTTTCCCAAATAAATGATTTTTTTTATTTAAAAAGTGTAAATTTACAGAATTCTATATATAAAATTGCTGTTATGAATTTTTTGCATGCTCACTATATATCCCCAAGCTTCAAATAAATATTATGCTGGCATTATTCAAACAAAAAGTGTTTGGTAGTGAAGGGGTTAATGAGGATCAACTCCATACCTCACTACATTCCCAGTTTAGGATTCCTTCACTTCTAGATCTAGCTTTTTCATTCTAGGCTCCCAATTCACGTGAGATTGAATCAGCAGTGCTTTGTAAGTGTCGGCAGGTCATGCAGGTGATTATAAGCAGTTTTGGACCATGGCAAACTGCATCAATGACAAGCCCTTACACTGACCTTGCCCTCCCCATCCTGATTTTATACTTCTCAACCTTGGCAGTTATAGAAATGTATTTGCTACACCTTCACTTGCAGTTGATATTAACATCTATAAGCAGCTGCAGAGAATGTCAGTTTCCCCCATTCAGGACATTAACTGGCAAATATGACCTGCAATTATGCTGAATTTGCAAGCAACAGCCGAGTGTTGGACATAATACAATTATTGTGCAGGGACAGCACCAGAGAGCATCATAAACAGTCAGTGGCTTTCATATTCTCACAACACCCCATGTAATGGGTATAGGGGGACCCACCCAACAATCCTTCCTTATTTATTACGTGAAAACAGTCAATCTGGAATGAATGAGAGAATGCTAGCAACCAAGACAATCTAGATAACTCCTACTAAAGCATACAGGCTTCTTCCCCGAGTTGAAATAGAATGTATCTTTCAATTTACATATTACTCTGGCTAGGTGCATTCTTTTAAATAACCTTTATTTATATAAAAGAAAAAGGAAATATAAATAAATGTTAATTAAAAGAATGCACCTAGCCAGAGTAATATGTAAATTGAAAGTTATATTTTATTTCAACTCGGGGAAGAAGCCTGTATGCTTTAGTAGGAGTTATCTAGATTGATATTAACATCTATATATATGGAAGCAATCAGATCCAAGTTCCTATTTATTTTTCCAAATGAATAAGAAGGCTGACTAGCCCACATGATGCATGTGCATAAAAGGTTACTTATTTCCAATATGAATCACAGATGTAACGTTAGGCAGATTTAAAAAAAAAAAAAATATGAATTAGAACATTCATGGCTCCAGACAACACTGGGTAGGATTTTCGTCTTGCTTTTCATTTAAGAGTTTGAATTTATACCTTTAAGTCCGGAATGTTGAATTTTGAGTTGGTAGACAGATTGTTACTCTTCGTGGTTGCCGCCAGCAACTTTTCCCATGTTTGTTGGCACGTCTTCTCCCCGGGAGCAGAAATCAACCAGAATTCAGTCATGATTAAAAAATTTCAGTGCTCGTCAGAAGGCAAAATCCCTGGAAGAAAAAAAAATTTAAAGAAGAAACAAGAGTTGGTACTTGCAAGCAAGGGTTTAGTCCACAGTTCAATGATGATTCAGTGGACTGTCACACACAATTGAGAAATAGTGGTCATATCTGTCCAAATCAGGAACGTCCCTTTACTGAATTTGGAATACATCTGGTACATTATTGGTCAGAAACAATTTTCTATGAAGTGTGCACATAGAATGAATGTCATACGTTTCCCTGAAATACATAGCCATTTGCTTCAGGATATCACGTGTGGGTTTTGTTTCAAGATAGAAGATAAGAAAGAAAAACTTAAATATGAGTGACCACTCACATTTCTGCATTTAAGCAAGCAAATTCAATAAGCACTGCATTTCTTAGCATGGTTTATCTATACTGTGGCAAAACCGACCTCGCCACTGGGCATTGGAGAAGCCTGTGTGCCCGCCTCCTGACTATGGCCCTGGGAGATTTGGCCCTTTAAATACAGTATTTGGACACATTGTAGTTTATTATGCTTCTGCTGGCCCTTTAAGAACCATCTGAGGACATACTGTGACTTTAGGGAACAATGCCCCTTTAAGACGGTGTCCCCAGACTGTTAATATACTGTGTTCCTGGCTTTCTCCCACTTGGTTCAGTAAATGGGGCTTACTGAACCAGGTACCACACAGGCGGACCATCCAGAAGTGGAAGTGTGCAGACAATTTACCTCCCAGGCCTGGAGCCTGCTGTAGGTAAATTGTCGAAAGCTGGGGGGCCGCAATTCGACATACGAACACGTGGCGGCGGCCATCTTTTTTTATTCAATGCAGTCAGTGGTGTGTGTAGCCAAATTCATGGAACTGAAATCGGCTACACAGTTCCGCAAACACCGCTGAGCCTTACCTTCTCCCACAATGATTTTTGCAGCTGCAGAGACTAAGTCCCATTCAGTGATGGGACTAAGTCATTTTTTCAGCCTGAAATAGACCGACCGCACAGCCCAAATCTATGGAACTGTTTTGGGCATGAAATTTTTTTTATGTTTGTGGCATGTATATTTTTGAAGTTATTAATATTTTGTAAAAACTGTATTTCTTTGCCTGTGATAATTATATTAACCATTGTGTTCAGTAATCATATCACAGGCAGAGGGGAGGATTTTGTGTGGGAGTGTGTGTGTATTGTACGGATTGATTGGTTGTATTTCAAAACCCTGTGGGCAGTACTATGTTTGTGGATTGTGAATAAAAGAGGCTGTATGTGCCAGCACAGTCAGTTCTGCTTGACCCTCAAAACGAAGTGTTGTCTCGTTACTGGGGGAATCTGCTACAAGGGATTGCTATGCTAGTCATACTCCCTTTCAATATCACTACTAAGCTCTTGTAAGAGCTTGTTCCTGTCTTGCTCTCTGGAGGAGTCTACAGTGGTTATGGTGTCGGCTGGAGTGCTTGGAGCCCTCAGGAAGCGCTAGGAGCATCCTTCAACAGAGGTACCCAGTCGGGGTGCCAGGTGATCCGTTACATATAGTGTATGGATAATTTACTATATCAGACCTTCTATCACTAGCATATACACACATAAGCTGGACAAGAAGGAATAATATAGTCAATTAGCATTATTAACAAAATATATTCCCAGTATTCTACTTCACCTTTTTTTTTTTCTTTTTAATTTAAAATGCCTGATCACGCAATACTAACAGACCCCTTACAACCTGCAAAAATCATATTAAATTTAAACAGGAGGCAATGCTACTGGCGTTGACCTGCACTCCTCCGTCCAACATTATCCCTGCTTTCCTGCTATTCAAAAGGTTTTTCATAGAGAAGACTTTAATTGGACAATTTTGTAGTCTCAGAGTGCATGTGCAAGCTCCGAACCAGCAAAAGAGGGATTTAATAAAAAAAATTAAGACATGCAATTTGTTTAATGGAATCAGGTAGGAGAGAGTGCACAAATGGAGGGAAGAGCAAGCTTCCCCTTGTAGGTGCACTACACACAAGGAAAACCATTATATCTGCACAACCATTTTGCACAGATTCGACATTTGGCAGTCCGGAACAGCTAGCATGGTAAAGACTGTTGCAGCGGTAGTAACTATGTTGTTGTACACTTTGGGCACCTGAGTAAAGGGACACTAGTTTCAAAATAAAGTGCTAGAATTTAGATTTCTACTTTAATGAATAAATACTGGTTTGGGTGGAAACAGAATTCTTAAACCCTTGTGTAGTTTGTAGGTACTGTTCTTATTTTGGATCTGTGGTCTCAATCTTTGCAAGATTGAATGTATAGGGCTTCTGCAGGCTTGCAGGATGCTTTGTAGACCTTAATGTTGTACTCGCACATATGAGCACACGTACAGCACGGACACTCCTGGCAGATGAGGAGCCAAAGAAGATCTCCTGGGACAAGATGGTGGCAGCGTGCAAAAAAAAAAAAAAAGAAAAAGAGAGTCACTAAGAGAGATGTATAGATAAGTTTGGAGCTTATATGGTGAACCTCACAGCACCACTGGAAAAAGATAAACATACATTTATACAAAGTATAAGAAAAGGACAAGCTCCACACTTTAAGAAGATAAATACCACCTGGTTATATAATTAGCATATTTAGAAAAAACAAAAACTGTACATAGTGTTATACAGTAAAATAAGATGAGTAAAAGAGGGAGGGGAGGAGGGTGTGAGAAAACTCACACGACGTCGGTAAATTCAAGCTAGTCTCCCCAAAAAAGGGGGGAAAGTCTGATGGTCCTTCAACTTGCAGCTGTAGATTTTAAAAAGGAGGAAAGCCAATAGCGCGATAAAGTAAAAAAGTAAATACCGGTAGGTAAAAAAATAAAACATTTACAAGAAGGCAGTATGTTCAGGCATATCTCCACCCAAGGTGGACCCTAAAACAGCACACTAGTATGGGCTGGATGGAGCAGGATTAATAGCTAATAAGTGAAAGTGGTAAAACAAATAAAATAAGTAAAAGTCACAAATAATAAACATCCAACGCGTTTCATCCAATCCGTGGACTTCTTTAGGGATCTGGGACATTATAACCGCTTCTCAGTTTATATATACACACACACCTCCTAATTTCAGATATTCGATCAGCTGGCAGTCAAGTGCGTTCCACTGTGGAACGCAGTGTTCCTTCCTGTAGACTGATGTCAGTTCCGGCTTTATCTGTCTGACGCACGTAATGAAATGTGTGCGTGCATACATGGGGATCAGATCGCACATGCACACCAACTACTAACTTAAAATGGACAACCTAAATATAAACAGATGTGCACAAAAATACATCCTATTGTGTATTCCGGCACACTTAAATATGTACAGACTATGAACGGATTATAAACAGGCATATGAATCATGGGGAGTATGTATTTGGCTATAAAAAAAAAAAAAAAAAAATTTAATTTTTTTTTTTAAATTACAAACACATGGATATAAAACCAATATATATCTAAAAATTTAAAAAATAAATACAAAATATTTGTATAAAAAAAAAAAAAAAAATTATATATATATATATATATATATATAAAAATATCAACATCCCCTGCACTCACGCTTGAAGTATTCCAAATGCCGGGCGCACCACCAAAGCTCCAATAGGTATAACTTCCACAAGAAAAGGCTGCTCTCCGGACTTAAAAGTTTTAAGTCCGGAGAGCAGCCTTTTCTTGTGGAAGATAGAGATATATATATATATATATATATAATATATGGGCCTTTAAACAAAAATCAGACAAAAGAGAAAATAGTAAATTAAACAAGCCGAATCTATATCCATATTCAGACCTGACTTGAGGGTTTTTAAATTAAAGTTCCATTGAGCTTTTTTTTTTAGCAAGCCCTAAAGATCTCTTGCCTCCTCTTCAATTTATTGGCATCTGATATATTTCTATGGTTATAAAATTGTGCCACTAAAAAAACTGGACATGCATTACAGTGTCTGGGGACACTGTGATCAATTTTCTTATATTTTCGTACATTGTTAAAATGTTCCCGTATTCTAACATGTAGCTTGCGTGTTGTTCTGCCCACGTATTGGGCCCCACAGTCACATTGTAACAGAAACTACGTGAGAAGAGGAACACTGTATAAACTTCTTGATTTCAAACTACTTCTGGATATAAGTACCGATAAAAGTGTTTGTAACTTTTTTGGTGCATGCATGTCGAGCAATGGCCACAGCTATAGAATCCTCATTTGCGGTTTTTGCCTAATGTCATTCTTTGGATCTTATTTTTTCTATCTGGAAGTAAACTCTGAGCTAATTTGCTTTTGAAATTATCTGCTTTTTAAAAAAAAATCCTAACCGGACGATCAGGAATTGTTTTAACGAAGATGTCATAATTTTGGAGAAGATGGTGGCAGCGGCAACGGACAGCTTAAAAGTGCCCCTGCAGACCCCGAAACCACTTTAGCTTGCAGAAAAAAAAACCAAAAAAAAAAACTGTATGTGTGATGAGTGAGTCCTCTTTTTTCCATTTTGCAATAAATGCAGATTGTGATGGAAATTGGCACTTTTCTAAAATAACCTGGTTACACCCCCTTGACTTTCAAACAGACAACCAGTTTTGTTACTTCCTAGTTTGAGTAGCTCAGTAGAGCTAAACTCAAGAGGCAGCAATTGCCCAGAGCACCTGACTTACAAAGACTTCTCATTGAGCTGCATTGGGAAGTCTAATTGGAAAGAAAAATAAAGCCTGAATGGGGTTAGAAGGGGAGGGCTTGCAAAGGCAACAGAAGAAAATAGATAAAATAAAAAAGTAATTCAGGTTTTGCAAGCTTTTTTTACATTTACCACCAATGAAAATATGCATAATAAAAAGGCATGCAGGTTTTCATTTAGGGAATATCTACAAAGCTGATATTTTCATTGATTTTGTATTTCGGTAATAGAGTGTTCCCTAAAGGTAATAAACCTACCTTCCAAAACACTCTAGGGCACTAGACCCAACCCAGAAATGTCAACTCTGGGAGTCTTTACAAAATGTAAAAATATTCCTAAAAAATTTTTTTTTTTTTTTTTTTTTTTAAAACAGATCTGTATTAATATGAACAGACTAATCTGCATTATATTCAGCTCTCACTTAGAATACATACATTGTATGCTTGCAATGATCATTTAGGTTCATATATTGGTCTATAGTTACAAAGAAAAGCTGATAATGATCTGGTGAATTCTATTGTCCAAAAGAAAAAGTGCTTTTAAGATACTTCTTGCTACAAATGTGAATGCATAGCAAATATTTCTTACTCAATATATTTTGTATTTATAAAGCTTTCAACATTACTCCAGCACAGTCTGAAATGAAGTGTCTGCCTCACTGACAAAGTCAGCTGATACTTAGACCAATACATTTTCCAGGATCCATGCACTAGTGTAAGGGCAAAAACCTCAGGATGTCTGCTATATACACATGGCTGTAAAACCAGCTCTGTGTCTTGATTTTATTTTTTACTATTATGTTTACTATTTACTAGGATGACAATTAGTTTGAAGTCTGGCAATGCATACAGGCATGGCTTTATGGACTACCAGAACTGGTGGAAACCCAAGTAAATTTACCACCAAACTAAATTGTAAGAGGCGATAAGGCCACTTTTTTCACAAAGAAAGACACAATATATATACACAAGTAAGAATAAAACACTTTTGCATTCTTTATTTTATTTTAAAACAGGACTCAGATTTAAAAATATATCTGAAACAATACTTTAATGCAATAGACCAATTCCACTGATACAACATTAGCAGAACTTAGAAGTGGAGGTGTGCCAAATCTAATTGTTGAATACAAAGGGACTACCCAAATGGTAAACCAAAACACATAATGAAAGGAAGCTTAATTTGGGACAGATCTCACTATGGGCAGGGGTAGAAAAAAAATATATGACTTTTATAAACTTGTAAAAAAAAATAACTTAGAAGCAACAATTTTCTTTTAGCTGGGCTAAATACAGCCTAATAAACAACTTTATAGGGTAAACCCAGGGCCCATGAAACCCCAGGGCAGAAAAACAAGATGGGCATAACCCACGGAAATTCCTTCTAGGACCATTCGTTGGCACAAAGGGAACTGTGGAGTCCACGTCCCATGTCTGGATGCAAGGCTCATCCTTTGGAACATTCCGGATGTTCCTCCCTTTGTGTCTCCAAGTCTGCTGCGAACACACGCTTGATTTTGGAGACGAGGTCTTGTATGTCCCTTTTGGGAGCTGCAGAAGTTTCAGCTGCGTCTGTTGTAGTTGAGGAGATAGCCTGAGGTGTAGGCAGGAACATGTCATGTGTGTCCAAATGTGGATCCTTGGAAGAGTGGGAGCAGCGATCTTTGCGAGTGGGGGCTATGCAACTAAATGGGGGGGCACAGGGTCCTCCTTTGCCCCCACCCATGGGCGGCGGGGGGATGACGCCCTAAATGAAAAGAGAAGGGCAACCTATTGTCCTCACCCCAGCCCCCACCCATGAGCAGCAGGTGGGGGCCCTAAAAGACAATGGGGGTGACCTGTTGTCCTCGGCCCCAACCCATGAGCGGCAGGTGGAGGCCCTAAATGAAAAAGGGGGAACCCTTTGTCCTCCCCCCCCCCCAGCCTCCACCCATGAGCATAGGGTGGGAGCCCTAAAAGACATGAGACATGGGGGGACCTATTGTCGTGTTCCCCCGTCCCCACCCATGAGTGGCGGGTGGGGGCCCTAAAAGACATTGGGGGGGACCTATTGTCACCCCGGCTCCCACCCATGAGCGGCGGATGGAGGCCCTAAATGAAAAGGGTGGGGGAACCTATTGTCCTCCCCCCAACCCCCACCCATAAACGACAGGTGGGGGCTAAATGTAAAAATCACCCCCCCCTCCAGGAGTGACTAGTGGTCCCCAAGCCTATAGTCCCCCCCACCTAAAAAAAGCTGAATAGACCCCCACTCGCGGGGCACGTGTGTGGGAACACTGTGGTGTCCTCGTCCCCCGCTAGTTAAGAGATGCCCCACCATGGGGCCATTTATTGGGGGGGTCTGCTTTATTTATTTTTTTATAACCGTGATCAGCACCAATATTAGTAAAGTTGGCTGAAAGACCAATCTTGGTCTTTCAGCCTTTTGGTAGATAGCTCCCTAATTCCCACAGTATCAGGGAGCTATCTACTAAGTGGCTGCAAGATGCAGACGCAGCACGGATCATTCGAATAAAATATCGAAGCGACCTAAAAGTACCGTTTGTCGTCCTAACATGAATGAACAATCTGTTCTCATTCTGTTAGGGCGAAAATCGGTAGTTTCGTCGGCGTTCTGTCTACATGACAGGATGTTCAGGAATAGTGAAAAGAGGCGAGATCACGGAGGAAAGGTTAGAATTGTGGGAAAATTGCTCTGACCACAGGAAATGGAGCACACTTTGCCCCTCTGCTGGTCATAGATGGTCAGGTGTAGGAAATATACATAAGACAAATAGTCCCTGATTTGTCTCATGTTTTAAAGAAAACTAGAGCAGACAGGAAGAAATTAATAACATCTCCTGTAATACTGCTCAATTCACCTTTCACTGTCAACCTAATGTAGGGAATATTAGAGTCTGAACAGTGATTTGAAGCCTTATAGTACTTGCTTTCTATTAAATGACAATCGTGGAGAATATGTAAAGAAAAATTGCAGCACACAGAAATTACAATATATTGCAGGACTGTTAAAAGACTGGGAATAATGTAAGTCAAACACACTTACAAAATGTAATAGGAATATTCACCTTGAACAACATCATACATGAATAAATGATAAGTAATGCCAAATTTGGTTCTAATGAGCAATGGAAAATATTAAAACACAGGGAGGATTAGTCACTAAAGTGAGAATTATTGGGAAAGCATGGTGAATTTCAAATTTAATACCAGAACAGGTGAACTGAAACAGTCTCCAAGTTAGCGATGCTTCCCGTTTGGCTAATATAGGTCTCTGATTGGAGTATTCCCTGCCACAGACTGCAAGTCTGTGCTGGGGGAAGAGGGGACGGCTTGTAAAGGCTGCGGACAGTAGGTCTGCAGCTTTTGGAAGCCTTTTTTTTTTTTAATATATCCTAATTTTCTTTTTAAGTGAAAAACCAGGATATTTTTTTCCTATGGAATGTTTCTATGAATGTGAAATAAGCAATAAAGTCCTGATAATTCTCACTTAAATAAGTAACCCTTAGAGTGTCAAAATAAAAGCAAAAATCTGCTGCATATAAACAAAAGTAAAACCAAGGCATTGGTGTACATCTTTTATGAACCAAGCAAGCTAGGCACTTTATTCTCCTAAATGTGGAACTATCTGTGAAGTTCATAGTAAGCATATTGTAAAACATTTAATAAAAGGACTAAACTTGTACTACACTCCTAGAATGTTGTGTGTCAAGATGAAACAAAATGGATGAATTCAATCTACAATAAGGAAATCAGAATTAGCTTGTTCCTTAAATTATAGGCCCTACTTCCCTTCAGAATGTTAAGCAATACCAGATACCATGAAACAAAGGTAATCAGAAAACATACTGCCACTGTGGAGACAACTATTATCTATTTCTCGCTTGGAAAGGCTGGCAGAATGAAGCTGTACAATAGCCTACTGTTTTATTAAATGGCAGGAACAGAGTAGCACAAGAAGACTTCCAGTAAGAACAAGAATCCCAATAAACAAATACTGATTACCTATTACAACAAAAATCAGACAATGGACCATACATCAAAAGGAATACTTTTCTGCTTACTGCTATTTAAAATATGTATAACACCAAAAAGAACACAATACCAAATGCTTTATATGTTAGTGCAAATGTTATGGAAAAACAGCATGGTCACACTGTAAATATAGAACTTAAAGGAACACAAAACTGTTTTCCTAAAGCTTTAGCACGACCCTGTCTATTTTAGACTAAGACACACGTCAATGGAAGAAATAAAAATCTTACAAGTGTGTGTACTCTGCTTACAAGTTTGTATTCCTAATGTTATTGTGTTCCTATAACCATCACTTTTCAGAACATTTGGATAAAAATCTGCATATTTGTATGTTCTGATGGCTTGCGACACACTCGTCGCAAATCATTGTTCTACGCTACTGGTAAACACTACAAATAAATAAAATAAACAGCATCCAAAATCCTCACTGTGTACCACGTCTCCTCCCTCAAGCAATGTAATAGCAGCAGCACACTATGAATTACAATATGCTGCATACAGTTTCCCCATTCATTACGTGGATTTTTTTGCGATTTTTCTACCTCACTAAAGGAATATACCTGAAGACTTTGCCATACTCATTATAATACATAGGCAGGCAGACACATTTCATGTTTTCATTATGGCTATACATTTGTATACTACCATTTCTCTGTTTTACAAATTAACTCATCTAAGACTTGAAAACAGACAGCAAAAACTATTTTAAACTTGCATAGTGATGTAGACAAGAATGCATGTTTATAATATGGTTAAGAAATTAGGCCATTGTGTTATCACTTTGTAATGTTACATTATTTCAGAATGCTGATACCTCAATGCAAAATGTTAATCAAATTCAAGAGGGGTTTTGCAGGCACAAAGTTGAAATCAAAAGAGGCTCATTAAACTGAGCATTATGGAGATCTGACAAAGAAATTAAATTGTTTCCAGTCCTGTAATTCTGGCCTACATTTTCCCAAACCTGCTATATTTCCATCAAAGCTCTTTTGTCCACACAATAGCAAATCTTTTCTGATCCGCCACAATTGAAAAATTTGTTAGCAGGTCTTCTATGGTCTCTTCAATCACCAAACCGAGCCATCACTGAACATTTACTCCACATTTCTGGAAGGCTGCATGTTAAACAGATTGATAATTCCTTAATTCTTCAGGACTTGTATGGCAACATTCCAAGAAGAATTTGAGTACTCTAAAAAGATAGGCTTTACTCTTTATTATGTCCATTTTATTTTGCTAATCAGATCTAAAGAAGAGGGCTTACAGAATTTATATATGAAATTACAATTCAAGAAGCAGGTCACTAAATAAATTGAGAATGCATCCTTAAGCGAAGGTCAAGGTCATATACATAATTTGGATTTCTGTGAGAAAAATAAATTAAACATATCTTTAATTCAGAGCGAGACAGACCCCTTGTTGTAATCCTCCACTGGAGGGATCATAAAGATTTTTGACCTTTGTTTAATCAGATGTTTCTTACAGAGAAGTAACAAGGACATGGTGCATGCATAACTATCACCCAATCCACAAATCCATAGTGAAGCATTGGACAGACAGCGTTCTGATGTCAAATGTTTCTTTTTGCCAAGTGTAAAACAGATTTAATAACAATCTATTGGTCCAAAAGCCGCATTCTTGCTGTTAGTCTGCTCTGTTTTCAGAAACAGCTCTGCTTTCATGAGCAAAGCAGCATATATCACTTCAATGAAATGAAATTATTTTGATACTCAAGACTTTAAATCAACACTCCAAGCACTAAAGCAGTGCATGAGTTCCCTGGTGCAACCCCATGTAAGTAGTCAAGCCATTTGCTAATGGTTGGTCAACTTGCATGGGTCCCGCCAGGCACCAGTCTCAGCCTCCATGAGAGTCAGAAGCTCTCTGTATTGGGCTTATCCCAGCAATGGGATTAAAGGGACACTATAGTTACCAGAACCACTACAGATTAAAGGACCCCTATAGTGCCAGGAAAATATACTCGTTTTCCCTGGCACTATAGTGCCCTGAGGGTGCCCCCATCCTCAGGGACCCCCTCCCGCCCGGCTCTGGAAGGAGGAAAGGGGTTTAAACTTACCTTTTTCCAGCGCTGGGCGGAGAGCTCTCCTCCTCCGATCCACCTCCGTTCCGCCCCGTCGGCTGAATGCGCACGCGCGGCAAGAGCTGCGCGCGTTCAGCCGGTCACATAGGAAAGCATTAATAATGCTTTCCTATGGACGCTGGCGTGCTCTCACTGTGAAAATCACAGTGAGAAGCACGCAAGCGCCTCTAGCGGCTGTCAATGAGACAGCCACTAGAGGATTAGGGGGAAGGCTTAACCCATTAATAAACATAGCAGTTTCTCTGAAACTGCTATGTTTATTAAAAAATGGGTTAACCCTAGCTGGACCAGGCACCCAGACCACTTCATTAAGCTGAAGTGGTCTGGGTGCCTAGAGTGGTCCTCTAAGGTAATTGTTCTGGTTTCTACAGCTTGTACCTGCAGGCTTTTTAATGTAAACATTACTGCCTAGTAAGACCTCTAGTGGCAGTCACTCAGTCGGTCACTAGAGGTGCTACCTGGGTCACACATTTAGTGTTTCCACACCCTGCATGGAGGCGCTAAACTTTCCTCATTGATTCAATGCATTTCTGTGAGGAGATGTTGGTTACTGTAGCAATGTTGCACATGTACAACAGCCTGGCTTTTATGATGATCTCAGCCAAGGAGGCGGAGCAGGCATAGACCGGACTTGCACAGCGCTGGAAGAGGGCAAGTTTTTATACCTTTTTAGCCAGGATTAAACCGAGAGATTTGCTTAGAGTATCACCTGATCACTCTCAATCAATAAGCTGGCCTCGTAGGGTTTAGCTCAGAAGCACTAAAAGAAACGCCTTGCAATATTTCATAAAGATACACTCCCTCTAGCATGTAAGCTCATTGAGCAGGGCTCTCAACCCCTCTGTTACTGCGCCCAATTCATCTGATTACCATTAAGTGTTTGTTAGTCCACTCATCGTAGAGTGCTGCGGAATTTGTTGGTGCTAAATAAATAATAATATAACCTTTCTTAAACACTTATGCTGACTGCATATATGGAAGCTCCCTAGGTCTTGTGGGATCCCCCAAAGATATCAGTTTTGTTCTCTATAGAATGTGCGAGAGGACAGCACTGATGTGGCTCCTGGCAGATGAAACATCAGAAACTGAAGACAGTCATGGGGGACAACATCAGGTAAATATACATACCTTGCACTGCACCCCGCAGCCACTAAACCCTCACTGGAGAGCTACCTTTGTTGGTCTTTGCAAATTATGCAAACCCCAAAAGTGACAGATCTGTCCTATTATTTGGGGGGGAGAGATGTATACAATGGAAGACAATAAGTTCATAATCAAAGACACACACACACACACACACACACACATATATATATATATATATAATTAATTAGAGCTGATATATAAAAATCGACATTCTAGCAAGATCCCATAATCCTCTATAGACAGAAATAGATGCATTTTGAACGTTCACTGAGAAAGAAACCAGAGACAATACATTGAACACACACACACACACACACACACACAATACATTGAACACACACACACACAATACATTGAACACACACACACACACACACACACACACACACACAACATTGAACACACACACACACACACACACAATACATTGAACACACACACACACACACACACAATACATTGAACACACAGAGACAGACAATACATTGAACACACACCCAGCCAGCTGTCCAGCTTGGAGCAGAATGCCCCCCATTCCCCAGTAATGGAGGAGCAGGCCCATTGACACACTGTCCGCCCGGGCCGGGATACTCACAGCAGGCCGAGCAGGTGAGCAGGAGCCGCTGTTGGCACGCTGTGACAGTCCCCTGTCCCCCTCCCAGGCCTGGCTCTCGGTTACACGATCCGCTCGGAGCTCGGGGCAGCTCTCAGTACATCTCAGCCATTCTCAGACATACACACCGGGTCACGTGAGCCAGTCAGCTGACCCCCGCCCAACGCAGGCAGCCGGGGGAGGGGGCGGGGCGAACAGCGGAGCGCTAAACGAAAGAGACAAAGCACACCACTAGTCGCTGCACGGGCATCGGTGAACCCGACGCAGACTCCATTACATTTGTCTTTTAATAATAAAACAATAATAATAACATATCTGGCCCGCACTGCGCTCTGCCAATAGTAATATGGTCCAAAGAGAAGAGGGTAGCTGGCAGAGTTCTAAACACAGCCATGCGTAGTGGATTGCGCGCTGACGTCACACGTACGCACAGGAGTGGGAGTGTGCGTATCTTTGACTGTCACATGCTCTTGTTCTGCTTTTTACCTCCAGTGTCACCTGATGCAGGCCTGAATAGGGGAATTGTTATCATAACCCCTGAACCTGACTCATTATTATAACATTATTATAACAGTGTCAGTGGGGAACTGGCTCTGCAAACCAACCATTCCACTGAATAAAACAATAACAATTATCATTTAGGGCCATTTCTGTGATATGATGCTCCATTTTATTCTGATTGTATAGTAAAGATTTAGAATTTAAAGGGGCACCCAGACCACTTCTGCCCATTGGAGTGGTCTGGGTGCCAACTCCCACTACCCTTGACCTTGCAAGTGTAATTATTGCAGTTTTCATAAACTGCAATAATTACATTGCAGGGTTATGTCCTCCTCTAGTGGCCGTCTATCAGACAGCCACTAGAGGGACTTCCAGGTTCTTAAAACCTGAAACGTGTTTTAAGCAACGCTGGACATCCTCACGCTATGTGAGGACCAACAGCGTCGCCGAAATCCCCATAGGAAAGCACTGATTAATGCTTTCCTATGGGGAGGTCTAATGGGCGGCTGACGTTGGTGGAGGAGGAGAGTAGCAGAGCCTGACCAAGTGCCAAGGGACATTGGCGCTGGACTCCGGTAAGTCACTGAAAAGGTTTTAACCCCTTTAACAACTTGGGATGGGGGTGGGAGGGTGAGGGGCACTGCAGGGTCCTGCCGTGCCAGGAAAACTAATATGTTTTCCTGGCACTCGAGAGTCCCTTTAATATCACAATCTGAGTCAGAGCACATATTGCATTGGGGGAGGAGAAACAAAAGCGGAAGAGAGTATTCTGGGAAAAATAGCCAAGGTTACGGATCCAAAGGTGCACTGAAATCACTAGACAAGCCTAGTAAAGGGCTACTCCAAGCACCATGAGCACTTTACTGTTTTAAAGTGGTCGTGGTGCCTGGAATCTGTATATGCACCACACATACAGAGTTTAGCCCCATTGCTGCAGGAAGGGCATCAGTAAGCCAGAAAAAAGAGTTTTGGGCTGGCTAATTTTGTGCATATCGGACGTTTCTCATCCACACACACATAACGCTGGTGACAGGCGACTAAAGGGACATACATTCCCCTGCTTCCCATTTACATCCCTTCAGCCAACCCCTACATCTCTCTCTGGCTGCTAGGGAATGTGATGTCAGCAGAGGAGAGTCGGGATGAAGAGAGAACTTGCCCTCGGTGCTGGAATGCAGGTTAGTTTTAGCTTTATTTTTAAAAAACATTGACTAGGCGAGGGGGCAGGAAAGCAAGGGCTCAATGGCGGTAGGCAGGCTATTCCATAGGAAGGGAGAAGTCCTGCAAGCATTAGTTGGCTGTACAGCTGTGGACAACGGACAGGAGGTGGTCACGGGCAGAGCGGTGAGACCGAGAATTATGTATTGTAAAATGATCTGTGTTTTGTGGTTCCCCCCCATCCAGACAGCCTTGAGGAATGGTTTGGGAACCACTGCTTTAGACCATTTCCAAGCTATAAACCCTGACAACATGGTGTTACAAAAAACATAGACAAGACAAGAAAGTTCTTCTTTAGTCTCGTCTTTAATTGTGAGGAAATGCATTTAGCAGCGGGTTACATGCCATATTCAGGTAATTCCCAAGCTAACATAATGTTCCCTGTCTTATATACTCTTTTTATGATGACAGATGTAACATACTGTTATATTTTGCTGCTTTGCCCTATGCTGCCGAGACTTTGAATACTTTGAAGCCATGTTCTCTGTCTGTCCAGAAAATGTTTGCTACCTACTCCTGCTGGGACACTGAAATAAAAGCAAGGGAACTCTAGTGCACTGCGGCTATAACAAGTTGGAGACTGTCTTTTCTGCACAAATTGGAATATTCGTATTTCTGATTTTCCTGATTTCAGCTACCTGTAGATTCTAGAACTTCCTTTCTGCACTCAGACAGCTTTGAATTTTTGCTAGAAGTGGATATATCTGCAATTACAGAAGTCAAGTCAATCTAAGGTATTGAATCCAGAAATTGCTTCAGGATTCTCCATTTAGTTCATAACATTTCAATAAATACCTTTATCTGGGTAGCGCTACCTAAGTCTAAGGGCCCAAACGTTGTGCATACATACATAACCTACCTGCAGGTACCTATAAAAAAAGAAATTGTAACTGCTGCTCACTACTGCATGTCTGGGAACAAAGTACCCAGATGGTGTCATCCATACTGGGACCAACGGCATTTCTCTAACTTGCATTTCACGTGTTCTTTCCTCCCAACACCACTTGTTAATTTCTTCTGTTGTACACATTCATTTTGAGCATACAACTATATTCTATTTTTCCTTAAAACAGTTTATCTGTTATTCCATCAGGAACATTTTATTCTCGAATCAGAATTAAAGGGACACTATGGTCACTAAAACAACTTTAGCTCAATAAAGCAATTTTTGTGTATAGATCGTGCATCTGAAGTCTCACTGCTCAATTCTCTGCCATTTAGGAGTTAAATCACTTTTGTTTCTGTTTATGCATTCATAGCCACAGTTCCCCTGGCTGTGACTGACACAGACTTCATGAAAACAAAATGGTTTCAATTAGATGTAACTTACTTTAAAAGTTTGTATCTCCTGCTCTGTAGATTGAACTTTAAAGGGACACTGTAGTCACCCAGACCACTTCAGCTCATTGAAGTGGTCTGGGTTCAATGTCCCATGCCCCTTAACCCTGCAATATTAATTATTGGTTAATTATTGCAGTTTCTGAGAAACTGCAATAATTACCCTGCAGGGTTAACTTCTCCTCTAGAGGCTGTCTACCAGACAGCCACTGGAGGGACTTCCGGAATTGAAATGGACCTTTGGTCTGTTATCTGACGCTGGACGTCTTCACACTATGAATGAGGAACTCCAGCGTCAGATTTTCCCCATAGAAAAGCATTGAATGTTCTCCCCCACCAGCTGACGTCAGCAGGGAAGGAGCGTGGGCAGAGCTTGACCCAGCACAGAGGGACATTGGCGCTGAATTCAGGTGAAAGACTGAAGGGGTTTTAAACCCTTCAGCCAAGCAGGGGGGGAGGGTGGGGCATCGTGAGGGAGGGGGGCACTCCAGGATTCTACAGTGCCAGGAAAGTGGGTTTGTTCTAACCCTGTTCTAACCCCCCCACCCAGGGACGTATAAGAAGCGAGACAAACAAGGCATTTGTCTTGGGCCGCACTTTCCAGGGGGTGGCAAAAAAAGTGCTCCCTCGCCAGCGCTGCCCGACCGACCTCCCAGCAGCCCCATTAGACCCCAGTGAGAGAAGGACCCCCCCCCCCCTAGTATTCCCAAAGGTAAGGAGGCTGGGGGAGGGTTAAATTTAAAAAAAAAAAGTGAGTGTGTTAATGTGAGTGTGTGTGTGTCTGTTAGTGAGTGAGTGTGTCTGTTAGTGTGTGTCTGTTAGTGAGTGTGTGTCTGTTTGTGTGTCTGTTAGTGAGTGTGTGTGTGTGTGTATCTGTGTGTGTGTGTGTCTGTTAGTGAGTGAGTGTGTGTCTGTTAGTGTGTGTCTGTTAGTGAGTGTGTGTTTGTTAGTGTGTGTCTGTTAGTGAGTGAGTATGTGTCTGTTAGTGAGTGTGTGTGTGTGTCTGATAGTGTGTGTGTCTGTTAGTGTGAGTGTGTTTGTTAGTGTATGTGTGTGTGTCTGTTAGTGTGTGTGTGTGTGTCTGTTAGTGAGTGTGTATGTCTGTTAGCTAGTGTATGCGTATCTGTCAGTGAATGTGTGTGTGCGTATTTAGAAGGCGCAGCAGGGGGGAAAGGTTGGGTGGGGGTGGGAGCCCCTAGGGATAGGGCAGCACAAAACCAGGATACACCACTGCCCCCACCCCCTTCTAACCCTGCCCAGACTTTCTGTGGCTGTCCAATTACTGACTTCCCAATACAGCTCATTGAGAAGTCTTTGCAAGACAGAAGCTCTGGGCAATTGCTGCCTCCTGAGTTTAGCTCCACTGAGCTAAACAACCAGGAAGTAACAAGACCAGTTGGCTGCTTAAAAGTCAAAGGGGTGTAACCATTTTCATTTATGAAAGTGTCAATTACTATTGAAATCTGAACTTTTTTCAAAATGAAAAAAAAGAGGACACACTCTTCACATAATGCATTTCAGCAAGCTAAAATGCTTTACGGCTCTATAGTGACCCTTTTAGGTGTACCAATTGTCACGCTTTTTCACGTATATGTACTGCAGTTTGCTTTGTGAGTTGATTGTGTATTAATATTTTTGGATGATACAGAGGAATTTTACAGCAAGCCACTTACAGAAGAAAGACTATACAAAAAATTATATATCATAATCATCATGAAAATACTTATTACACTAACTTCCTACGTCGCCTTCTTCCTCATCTTCGTCTTCCTCATTTTATTTCTTATTTTCTTCGTCTTCACCTTCTCTCTTTCCTCCCTCTTTTTTATCCTTTTTCTTTCTCTTCCTTTGTAAACTCCTCTCCCTTCTTCATCTTTATCTTTCTCCTCTTCCTCATCTTTCTCTTTCTCCTCTTCCTCATCTTTCTCTTTCACCTTCTCTTCCTCCTCCACCATCTCCTCTTTTTTTTCATTTTCCTCCTCCTTCTTCTTAATCTAACTATTTCTACCCCTTATTCTTTGTCCTTTTCTTCTCTTCCTCCTCCTTTTCATCTTCCTCCACCTTCTTCTACTATTTCTCCTCCTTCATATTGTCTTCATATATGTCTTCCTCATTCTCTTCCACATTTTTCTTATCTTCACCTTCCTCCTTCTAATCCCTCTTCTTCTTTATGGTTCACCTCCTCTTTTATTTTCTTATTTGGCTTTAACCTACTCTTTCTCTTTGTCCTTCATCTTCCTCCTCCACTTTCTTCTTCTTTCTCATTTTCCTTCTCATTCTTTGTTTATCT